GCGGGGAGGAGCACCGTTCCTACACTTACTAGAGACACCACCAACATTGGGGAGCTCTTTACGTTTTTTGGGGGGGGGGGGGGGTTCATCGTTTTCGTTTAGGCGTGTACAACAATCCGGGAGTCTCTTCGTTCTCCTGAGGTGGCCGCGGCAAGGCCAGGCCGGCCACTGTGCCTCTTGCTCCCTCCCGCCTGTTTCATCACCAAGCGCTTTTCATGAAGCACGGTCGCCACACTTTGGGGGAGTGCTTCCTCCCAGCCGCAGGTTCCACGCGGAGGGCCCAAAAAGCAAAACCTTATCAATAACTCAACGATTCTTCCTACACACGCGCGCGAGAAGATTCATTGACCCGGCCGCAAAACATTGAAGCAAACACCAACCCCGGCGCCTTTCGCAGGAGACTAGAAACAGCAGCCTCTCCCCCCCAAAGCCTACGCCTCCTCTCTGCTAAGCCTTCAAACCAGAGAGTCCGCTTTGTGAATATAACACCCTTTTTGTCCCAAAATGACGCACAGGGCGCGTGACCCCCCCGGCGCGCGCACACACCTCGTGGTGAAAGTCAAACCACACGTGCCGCAGCGACCCCGCCAGCTTCGGGGCAGCCGCAGACGCCGCCCCTGCCCCCCCCACCCCGTCCCCGCTGCCGCCCGCCGCCGGGGACCCCGAATCAGAGGAGGCGTTATCTTCGTCGGGGACGGGTTCGGCACCGCCGTCTCCGTCCTCTACCGCCTTGAGAGCCGCCCCGAAAGCCTCTCCGAGAGCGCCCTGAAACGCAAGAGCAAGGGGAGGGAAGGTAAAGTACAGTCGAACGTCGGTTTATGGACACACCTGTTTTTTTTTGCTAAAAATAGTGTCCTTAGGCCGGGGAAGTGTTCTTGAGGTTGATATACCCCTCCTAATGTTGTGCATTCTGAGAGCCACCATGCCTTCGAAAAACAAAGTGTCCTTTTACCGAGGGAGTTTCCGTAATCTTGGTGTCCGTAAGCAAGGCGCGACTGTACAGCAGTGGGGGGGTCGTCAATATCGCCGGTTGATTAGCGCCGGCGGACCTGAATAGCGCCGGTGAAATTGCTGGACACAGAATGAATCACCAAGTAATTCTGTACGTTGAATGTACAATACTTCTGTACGTTGAATGTAAATAGCGCCGGTCACTCAATAGCGCCAGTCGATGCGCCGGGCACATACCGGCGTTATTGAGGGCCCCCCACTGTATACGACGTACATGTATGACGGGGTCTTGCGGACAGAGGGCCTCAGGCGGGCTCCACGAAAAGGGTGGCCGAACTGCGCCCTCTGCGGCGCCAGCCTCGCTCTTGAAGTCATCGTTTCGATTTGAGAGTAGGCCGAACTACCCCGCTGCTCGCTCCGACGCCGCTCTGAAGGCCTCAGGGCCGAGCTTGAGCTTGAGCTTGAGCCAAAGTCCCCTACCTCTACGACAAAAAATGCAAACTACAAGGGGTATCGATGTCTGCTGCACGGGGAATCGTAGAAGCACACAGCAAGTGCTTCCGCTAACGCTATGATTTTCATCGATAATACTGTCCCGGGCTCTTCTCCGTGGATAAGGATGGATCCGTTGTGTTATCGTACAAAAACAAATATTTGACGAGGGAAGGGGCGTCAGGAGTCGGCTGGCCCCACGCATCCGATCGAAAATTCAAGTCGGACTGCACCATTCGTGTTTGCGTTGTGTGGTGTGCTTCTTGAAGTAGTGTCGACCTGAGAAGACGGCAGTCCATTGGCGGCAAACACATACACACACACACAGTACACATGTACACAGACCTGTTCCTTCTTCTTGTCGACAAGGTTGATGAAGACAACGCCTCCGCCGTTCTTGCCGTAGAGACGGATCAGGTCCTCCGAGTGCCGCCTGGATTGAAAAATACAAGGGCAGTGTCGACGACACGATTCCATGCGGCGTGAACCGAACTGATCTGTGTGTGAACCGCGGGACGTTCCGCGAGCGAAAAACATAACCAAGGGTATCTCTGGGTGTCAAGCACACGTGGCACCCGAGCGCGCGAAGTAGCTTTTGACAAAAACGAAGTTGAGAAAACGCGTCAAAGATTGAAGAGGGAAAAGGAACGGCTGAACCCTTCTCGCGACTAAAAAACAAACCAACGCGAAGCACCGCGTACGTAGCACGGAAAAGAGCGGAGAAGAAAGCACCAAACTTTCCTTGTGTGGGCGTCTACCCTCTTTCCTTCTCTCTGACCCCCGCCTGGTGAGAGTCGAAACATCCCAAAAGGTGACCTGGCGTCCAGAAAATGTGGCATGTCAACAGATACGCACACACCTACGCCTCCAACCATTTTAACGGTATTCCGCACCTGAGCGCCCGCAGAGAAGCCTCCTGGTTCGGGTCTATTCGGACCTTAGGGTGGTACCTTAGGTTCGTCGGAGAGCTCCAGAACACGGGGATCGAGCCCCTGATCTGGACGTGGGAGGTGACGCTGCGGTCCTCGTGCAGCAGCGACTGTGCGTTGTTATTCGACCACGACGCAACGCAAAATCGGTGAAGTCCGCATGGAGACAGCAGGAGGAGGTGGGCAGCCGCCGATGCAAGAGCGTCAGACGGGCAGTGCTTGTTCGGAGGGGGCTTGAGAGTGCGGGTGTTTTCAGTGATGCGCGCGCGATGAGGAAGACCGTAACCGTATACGGCGCTTAGGAGCAATACTGATACCGGTCGCTCGCGAGAAAGATCATTTTGAGCAAAGCCAAGACAAATTAACTGTCGCAGCTGAGCGATGTAGCGATGAGAGCCTGGTCGCTGCCCCCCCACCCCCCCTTTTTTCTGCCCTGGGTTCGAAGGATGCGAGGTTCTACACCAAACGACTCACTAAAACCTAAACACCAAAACCGAACCACTGTTCTCTTGACCTCCCGAACCGCCCCCCTCCCAAGACCGTGTGCCCCCTCTCTCGTACCCACCTGCTCGGTCTCCACGAAGTTGGCCACGTTCCCCCCGTCGTCGATGCCGCGGCGCGTGTACCTGGTGCCCTGCCTCAGCCGGCTCCGCCTCGAGACGAACATCACGTCGAAGGTCCGCTCCCCGGCCCGGCAGCCCCGCTCCACCTGCAGGAACCCACTCATCACCGGCGTCAGCCACCGGTCCACGGCCGCCACCGCCGCAACACCCCCGTCGCCGCCGCCATTCCGCCGCCCTTCCAACTCTTCCCGGAGCTCGAGCAGCGGCTCCAAGACCCCCAAGTTCCAAAAGAATCGTTCGTCTGGGGGCGGCGCTACTGCCGTGGGCGGGGTGGCGGATGACCCTTGCCCCCGCTCCGCCCCCCCGTTTCGCCGCCGCCCGTCATCGTCGGCGCGCGTCCCCGCCGTGGCGGTGCGGCCGGCGCCGGTCCTCTTCTTCTGCGGGTCCTTCGACGCCGTAACTGGTTGTCGTTTCGACTTTACTTTCCGCGCGCCGCTGCCGCTCGACAGAGCCCCCCCGGAAACGGAGGCCGCGGACGACCGCTTCGCTGATGGCGGCGGGGTCGCCCGTGTTGAGGAGGAGGAGGAGGAGGAGGAGACACGGAGCGTCTGCAGGGTCTGGGTCACGTCGTGCACGTGGGAGAAGTAGAACTGGTGCGAGCGAAACGCCAGGGCGAGGAGCGCCAGGAGCCTGTTTTTTGTTTTTGTCACCCAATATTTTCCCGTTTGTTGGTTAAGTCAGACCCACAGAATGAGAGAAACACAACCCGTAGGTAACGGACGCGAACCAACCAAAGGGAGGGACGGGGTGGGGGTGACGGTGAAGATATCGAGCGAAGACACGAAGAAAGGAGACGGTACGGTATCTTGCAACATTGAATAGAGCGTTGCAAAGCCTGGGTGGGGTGGGGGCGCAATTTTCGCACACCACCAAGTTGGGACGACAATAACAAACGCGGACTCACCGGTGTCATACGACGAGAACGGCGTCAAAACAACAGGGCGGTAAGGTGAAAATCACAAAAAGACCGACGCCACGAGTGTGCAGAACCGATATCCCGACACCGCACGTGCCCGCTCCCATGCAGCATTCGTTGCTGCTCACGAGCTCGCCTTGTCGCACACTCTACGGTGCCCCCCCCCCCTCCTCCCCCCTCACCTAGCCTCCTCTCTCGCCTGCCCGTCATCCAGAGCCCTGGGCGCGGCTAGGACCGGGACGAGCTGCACCTTGGACACCTGGCGGAACTCCACGCCGAGGTCGCCGTTTGCATACCTGGGGCCGCACGACACGGTGGTCAGCGGTGCGTTGAAACTCAATGAATATAAACAACAGTACCTAGGCAATCGCCCTGCACAACACAGCAACAATCTAGGGAGTGCTACGGGATCGAGCCTCATTCCGACACGGTGAACACACGCCCCAAGAAAAACACGGAGGTGTGAGCGCCACGAGGAAAGAGCAAGAGCTGAATCCGAATGCAAGCATCCTAGGCAATGGATAACACCTACTTGGGGGTACAACTCTAGGAAATCTCGGCGAACGAGTAAATACCGTCTTTGAGGTTGGATATTTCGCCACGCCGCCGCCGCCGACCCTACCGCCGCCGCCACCGTCCCCCGCACCTGAGGCTTGACCTGCTGATGACCGCGACGAAGGGTCCGCTGAGGAGGTCGTACACGCCGAAGAGACCATCCACCGGTATCCTCGTCGCCGTTGTTCCCGTCGAAGGACGAGAATCCCCGCCCGCTGCCGCTGCCGCCGGTGCTTCTTCGATCCCGGCGTCCTTCCGCGCCACTACCCTTACGCGCGCGCCCCCAAGGGACTCAGGCCCGCGAGCAATCGACAGGCACTTGACAGTCATTTCGTTTCGATTCAAGTTTCACACGGGAGGGTAGGTAAGTTGTAGAGTCGCGTGGCACAAAAAATTGGGCGTGAATGACTCTGGGTTGATGGAATGAAAGCGGCAATGATTGGGGCGACAAACATGCGGGGTTCACGTGCCGTCTGAGACGGCAAATATTCTAAGCGCTGCCACGAGCGTTCACGATAAGCATGATCGCGTGCAAGGACGACCAATGAAAAAAAAGTAGAAGTGATTAGTTTTGGTAGAAAACAAAACACGCGATATAGCTCTCATAAAGTCTGCTCGTGCAGCTTCGTGTGTAAATATACTTCGAAGTACGAAGTTTATGTAAGTGTATGTATTTAGTGGTGTTCATAGACCGTGCACTAGGCGGGAGCAATGGACATACACCAGTCTGGCAGAGGAAAATCGTTGCCAATTTTTTTTCATCCGCGGGGTCCCCGGCGTTCATTCGCTTGTCAGCCCGCTAGGAGGTTGGTCAATGAAAATACCGCTGAGCTAGTTAGTGTGTGTACCAAATGCGCCAACCAGCTCAACAATACGTCAGTCTCAGCGGGCAAACAATAAAAATTCCTTGCAAAGGAGACAGCACTCGAAAGAGTGGGCGATGCCGAGAGCGCGCAAAGAAACACTTCGCGAGAGACCCACACCACCACAGCAGTTTCAGGTCAGTCTTGGCCCTGTAATCAACACAAGCCTCTGACGAAATAGCGGAGGACATCACAATCGAAAAACCAAGCTCAGCCGGAGCCAGGATATCGATAGGTGCGGTTATCTCAAAATCGAAAAATTTTCACTCTCAATATCCAGGCACTATCGGCTGACCACCTTTTTTGTTGTGTGTGCTTGGTTTCCTGGTGCCAAACCCAGCTACTTTCTACTTTGTACGGAGAAGGGGACGTCCCTCAGAAGACGAGACAAGAAGATCCATGAACTCCTCTCCCCCTCGCGTACCTCATCCTCGCCTTCCACCTCCAGCACCAGGGCCTCCGCGGTGATGTGAAGGAACCGCTTGGCGGTGTCCAGTCCCTCGTCATCCCCCGCCTTCTCCCACAGCCGTAGCCTCGGCGGCTTCGGCAGGAGACCTGTGTACAGGTGACAATTCACCCGACAGTCAGTGTAGTTCGCAAGCACCACCCGATAGGTACAACCCACGAGGAGAGCACCCACAACAGCAGTACTTTCTCAACGTTGACATGTGCTTCATTGCCTGCTGCTGCGGCGAGATCGATCTCGCTATAGGTTGCACTTCGGGGATAGATGGGGTTTTAGGGCGGGGGCTTCAGTAGTACGGTGGACGCCGTGGAGACGCGATCATGTAGCCTGTACCTTTTGGTGCGGTGGGACACGCGGCGACAATAATAACAGTTTCATAGCACAAAACCACCTGCGAACCACGCTCCCTAGGATATTTAGATGCTTGTGTGCACCCCTTGCAGAAACGGCTGGGCTTCGCTCTCTTTTGGACGCCGGGTGGCAGTGATGGTCGGTGTTGTTGCTGCCCGTGGCAACCGGGGGTAGACGGTTGCATGGGATATACGAGGATGTACATAAAACACGTCTCATGATGGCGCCTATCGCAACCCCAAGACCGAAACAACGCAGCAATTCGGAAGCATTTACTTCAGCAAAGCAGTAGGCCTACCTCGTACACCGTTCCTGGTCTTGGTTCGGAAGCTTATCTGCCCATTGGTCGGCGAGCTCAAGGGGCCTCCTGCCTGGAACACACTGCCGAAACTGCTGCTGCTGCTCCTGCTGTCGCCGAAAGCAGCAAGAGGCGAGGTCGGGTCACTGAAAGGGTTCGAAGGTGCACCGTTGGAAGGGCTGGCCCGGGCTCCCTTGCAGGCCACCACAGCTAACAGAAAACCGGCCGCCGGTATCCTCCGCAGCATCATGAGCCCTCACCCAGGCACAGCGCTTGGGTCCCGCCTCGTCCGTGTGTCTGATAGCTCGTGCTCGCGGCTCGCGTCGTCCGTGTTGGTTCGAGCAGTGATGCTCGGAGAACCAAAATGTCCCATCCGCGACCCCCCCGTTGGCGAAATGCAAGTTGCGAAATGGCGTCGCCGAACAACATCAATCAATCTGCGCAACCAACCACTCAATGCGAGACGACCCGGAGATTGGTTGAGTATCACCAAGCTCGCCCTGTCTTGATTGATGAGCACGAGGGCACTGAGGAGATCCATTGGCAGAAAAGACAAGGAGCGAAAGGGTAGCGGGCCGCGCGGTACTAGTAGGCCACAACTCCCCGTGCGGAGCAACAGCAGGGGGGGCATCTTGGCGAGCACGGTGTCCAAGCTTTTCCAACCGTCTGCTTCCGACATGGACGCGGACACCAGCACCCGGAACGCCCTGGCGGGGATCAGGAGGAGAAAGGCGGGGGGGGAGGGCTGGAGGAGGATGCCGAGGGCCGGCATCGTGGTGTTTTTTTCCGCGCTTTGTGCGGCGCTGCTCTGGGCTGGGGTGGGTTCTTTGGCGCAGCCGCCTGCTGCGGCGGGAGGAGCGAGGGCCAACTCCACAAGAGGTCGAGGAGGCTCGGAGGTGTGTGAGATCCAGCCAAGGCCTAGTGTGCTGTCCGCTAAACTTGTACAGCAGTCGCTCCACTGCTGTGTTGCTGGTACTAACAACGACAGTCCTGATCTGGCTGGAATGTTCGAAAAAGAAATAAGTTGTCTGCCGTTAGGTACCACATGCTACTTCACTTTGCTGTTGTCGCGAAGTAATGTTCTCGCGAAGGAATCGACACGAGACACAAGAAGCACCACCACGCACGGTAGCTTGAACTTGATTCCATCGTTAAGCGGTGCCGTCTGCACGGATGGGTGGTATGACCAGCAGTGGCACAATGGAACTCTCGATGTCAGACACCTTAGACGGATTATGCGAGACTACGCGTGGGCGGCGGCAGGTCTAGGCTCAACCCACTTTTCACTTTATCACGAATATGGGTGCTGTCTTCATGTGGTATCTCGTGCCACAATGGCACCGAAAATTGAAAATTGAAACAAATGTGGAGTACGTAGTAAAGCTGTCCTCGGCTGTGAGGCCGGTTCGAACTACAACATGAGTGCCAATAGGTACATGTCAAGAAGTCTTGTCCGAGTTCGTGTACAATTAGTCGTCCCGTCCCTTACCCTCAACATGGACCTGCGATGTCTCGAAGTATCATACTTCAAGTAGTGAGCAACAGGAACTCAGTATTCATCTAGCTGGCAAGAGCAGCATCGGGAGCTTGTACTGTAGGATTCGGACTGGCAGCGGCAAGCGGGAGACATTTTCCGGCGACACGAGGCCTTTTAGTTCGTCTAGCGCACCGTCCCAGGTCTCCTTGTGGTCGAACGGATCCCGATTTCGGATTTTTTCCATGCGTCCAATCACTGAAAAACCTTTGACAGACTTTACCGGTTCGAGGTAGTACCACTGCATTTGTCGAAGGGAATGTGTTGGACGTCTTAGCAGTGAGTGGGGGAAACATCCTGCTGGATACTGGGATTATTGCTGCGTATGGTTTAAGCCTATGCACTGCAGCATCAGTGACGCAAGCTGTTGCTAGCCAATAGAACACCTACATCCAATGCAATCCTCTTGTGGGTCGAGGACACAAATCATCCGGAAGAAGTCCTCCGTTATGTCGTAAGTGCTATGAGTTCGGCCTTTACAGGAACACGTTGCGGTGTCCTCTGACAACTTGCTGGGTTTGTTGCCGCTGTTTTTTTTAACCTATTAACCTGTTTGAATCTTGTACATACTCCGGAGTATTGGTTGTTTTTTGTTCAAGTGGCGCTGCAGCTTTGTTCGTTCCTGCCCTTGGGCGGCTCGCGGAGAGCCAGCGGTGCTCATTGAAGGAGGCGTTTTCTGGTGGCACACTCAGCCACCTAGCACGCCCTGCACAAGCGCTTCGTTTTCCTAAGGCCTCGATGAGAGCTCACAGCTTTCTTGGTTATGTTGGACGCGACTTTTTTAAGCTATCGAAGTACAGCGACATACCAAGGTATTGGATAGAGATATCCGAACGGTTTTTAATGATGAGACAACAATAACAGCACCAAAAATAAAAAACTAACCCGCTTCTCGTCCGTGCGTACAGAGCAAAACGAGAACGAGGGCGTCTTCGGCCGGGGCGGCAGCAACGGCAACAGCAGCGGGAACATCGGCGAGGCAGGACGGCTCTCAGGAGACCGCCTCCCGGAACCTATCTCGACGTCCAGAGCTCAAGACGAGGGGAGGACAGGTGAACAAGCAGATGTCCGTAGATCTTGGGAGGCACCAGTTATACTTGGGCTCACGGACAAGCTCTGTGCGTTGTCGCTGCATGTGCCGCGATTGGCTGTTTATCTCACCAACCAAAGGACCTACACGCCCTCTCCGTTTCTTTCCTTTCCTTGGTTCGCCATGCTTGAAATGCCTTTTTTTTTTCTCTTTCGACAACAACGCGTGTTGGCCTATTTCTGGATCTCGCAGCTGGCCTTCGCCCGCTTTTCCCTGCTCGCGGAGTACCCTCACGACCAGCACGCATTCACGTGAGTTTTGTACACGAGGCTGTCTCTTGTTATTCTAGTTGGTGGGATATCGCACGCGCTGACTGGTGTCCAGTACGGAAGCAGATGATTGGGTGTGTGTGCTTTGAGTTGTCGCCCTTGCTTGCAGCTTCAGGCAACGGTTTTGGATGTTTGTGTGATGACAAGGAGAAGATGTCAATGGTCTTTAAGTGTGTCACCAAAGCGGGCAAAGAAAAGTACGGCGTTATCGGATGGGACCGGCTGTTGTAGACAGCTTCACGGCCGTGTTTTCCCGCGGCGAACACTGCTATTTCTTTCGGTAGCCCTCTCTCTGGGCAACCCTGAGCACATGTTTCGCCCCGTTTCAAGCGCCATGCACAGGAATATGACAGGTATGCAGGGAAAACATTCGCCGCGCATCGAAAATGCTGTTGTCGAGCCGTAAATATTACCGCGGGGTATTGGCTGCATTGCGACCTGTTTCTTGTATCGAGCAAAGAGGTTGGTATAGGAGGGGAATCACAGCAGGAGAAGATACAGCAGTGCTGGACACATACCTACAACGCCGTGTTTGTGTAGCTTGGTTTCCCCTGGAACATGTTTGTGGTGATCGAACTCCTATTTTGTATCCCAACCGGGTTTTGCTTCGCAAGAGACACGATAAACATGTACCAGGTACGTTATTACTTCAAGTCGCGACGTATGTATCCGTGAGACAATGCGCAGTCGTTGCACGAACAGAAAACATGGATATGTATGTGTGTGTATGTATGTGTGTATGTATGTATGTATGTATGTATGTATGTATGTATGTATGTATGTATGTATGTATGTATGTATGTATGTATGTATGTATGTGTGCATGTATGTATGTATTTGTGTATCCACACCCTATTTTTTCGATGAAAAGTTCAAATGTCAAGCCTATCAGAGAAGAGCTGACGCACTTGCCGTTCGCTGCACCACCACCTCCACCACCACCACCACCGTGTGAACCCTCTCTCTCTCTCTCACCGCCTCACCTCCGAAACGGTTCTCATCCAGAAGTCACACAAGCGTCTCCAGAGCTTTCATCTATCCAACCTACTCTCTGCTGTTGCCATGTACTGCTCCGCCCTTTTTTTGGTTATCCAGAATATTTGGAACCCAACCTGTTCTCTGCTGTTGCCATGTCCTGCTCCGCCTCTGTTTTTTTGTGTTGGTTTTAATGTTGCAGTCAGGGGCTGTGCTACAACGGGGGCTTCCTGTACGAGAGCACCGGGCTGTACGGCGGGAAGTCCACAGTTAGGAAGGTGGACACGGAGACGGGGAAGGTGCTGCAGAGCGTGAAGCTGGACGACAAGTACTTCGGGGAAGGGATGGTCATCACTGACGACAAGGTGACTATTATGGTCAGAATGAGCGTTTCACAGCGTTTCTGACTAGATTCGTTGTCGTGGTCGTTGGTTGTGGTGGCTGTTGATGCTACCGCAACTGCTGCGGCTGCTACTGCTGCTGCTGTTTTTTTCGTGCTCATGGTTTGTGCTGCGGTGGGTGTTGTTTTGGTTTTGTTGCTGTTGCTCCTGTGTTGGTGTCTGTTGTCGGGAGTGGCGTTCGTTTGGGAGCAGCTAGGCCAGTACTGGCCGGGGGTTCGCCACGTGCTCGAGTGCCCCAGGGAGGCTCAGCAACGAAAGGGGGGAAATCAGTACCGGAGACTGCAAACTAAAGTTGGAACTAATCGTTCAACAACAAGAGGACAGGAGACCAGAAGAGGCGAGCTTGCAAACATTCAAGAGAAAAATCGACCAATACGCGAGGAAGACTGCTGGTTTGTTGCCGCCATCCCCCGCCCCCCCACCCTTTTCTTTTGTTGTCGACCTGCGGACGAAGACGGCCCACCACATGCTTAAAAGACGTTGCTGGTGCGCAAGAGCACAGCAATGGTCTGACTTCGCGCATGACCATTCCAATCTCACAAATACTTCCCCCCGCGTGCCGCCGCGCGCCCGTCCCTTTCCCGCCCGCGGCGCCGCTGTTCTGTTTGTTTTTTCGGCACAAACAAACGGAATATAAGATCCACTCGCTCACGTGGCGATCCAAGGTTGGCTTCTCCTGGGACCTGGAAACCTTCGAGCCGCAGGAGCAATTCCATTTCAAGTACGCACATGTCGCTCGATCTGCGTAGCCTTGCTCAGTGCCATGTATTGTAGCGCGCTGCACACTGCGGTCGGTACGTATGGGCATAAAGAGCAGTCTCGTTCCATGGCCTTCGCTTCCTTGTCTCAGTATAGTACCGGTCTTTTGAAACTCAGGCGGCATTACCCCCAAGGCTCTGCGACAACCAACAGTTTTTTTTTTTTGTGACGCACCTCAGGTGTGACCCCTTTTTATCCTCTCGTCCAAACGCCCTCCCGCTACACTTTTCCCTGCTTTTGTGGTGAACCGTACCTGAACCGACCACGCTGCAGTACCATGACAGGGCAAGGGTGGGGGATCACGACAGACGGCGAGAGCCTGATTGTTAGCGACGGCAGCGAGTTCCTCTTCTTCTGGGACCCGGCGACCATGAAGGAGACCAGACGAGTCGAGGTAGGCCAGAGAGGGAGGGGAAAAGGCGGATAGAGAGAGACAAGAGAGACGAGGGATCTATAGAGAGGGACAGAGAGAGGGAGGGTTGAACGATAGAGAGACAGCAATATGGGGACACACACACACACACACAGAGAGAGAGAGAGAGAGAGAGAGAGAGAGAAGCGTTGTAGTGTATTTTTTCCGAAAGCAGGCACAAATAGAACCATAGATTGCGACAGCATTGTGGTGTGTTCGTATTTTTGTTGTAAGTTTTGGCCTTGGGTTTTGCAGTCCTTGATGACGACGGCGTTTTTCCCATTCTGCGTACAATTTCTTGATGCTTTGTGTGTCTTCAACGCCGCATTTGGCGGCGGCGGGATTTACGGACGGGCGGCGGAACCTCCCGCTATCCCCCTCAACAAACAGGTCAAGCTGAAGGACGGCCGGCCGCTGAAGAAGCTCAACGAGCTTGAGGTGGTCAAGGGCTACGTGTTCGCGAACGTCTGGTTCGACGACAACCTTTACAAGATCGATCCCGCCACGGGAGAGGTCGTGGACGCCTACAACTTTTCGGAGCTTTACCCCAAGGTAATTAGTTCTATTTTTTGTGTGTTGCGTGCTTCCTTTTACGCCCCTGTGGGTGCCTACTTTTACCTCAGAGCAGGCATGGGTCGCTGCTTCGCCGGCGCTGCTGTTCCGGCGGCTGTTTCGGGAAATCTAAGCGCGGGGAGCATTGAGGTGTTGATATTGTATTCTAACAGGAACACAGCCGGCCAACCATGTGGTGTGTCGGCGTGCCGCGGTTGGTGATGGTCACCCCAATGTAACCGGTGAAACGGAGAATTCCTTCATAGCAGCACCTGGCTCTGTCTTTCGTACTTGTACATTGGCGTTTTCGTCCGGGGGATGGTGGCCCTGCCTGGTTGAACAGGGCAACTCTCACGCCCAGTGGCGTCATGTGTTTGTGTGTTCGTCCCATCTATTCTGGCGCCGGTTTTACAGGCCTTCCGGTATATATACCTGACCTATCAGCCGGGGCCACACGAGAGAAAGGTTACACGGTAGTTTTTTTTTTTTGGTATTGTTTTGTTGCCCCACCATTCCCCTGCGGTGCTTGCCTTAGTCTTTGTCGCGAATGAAGAGGAAAATTACCTGCTTGGACAGGGTAACTCCTCTCTCCCCCGAATGGCGGAATGAGGAGGAAAACATCGGATTGAAAAAGGGCAACTCTTTGGCCAAAGGACAGAGTGAGGAGGAGGAGGACTAATACCTGTAGTTCTGTCGCCGAATGGAAGAATGAAGAGGAACTACCTGATTGGACAGTGTAGAGGAGCGGCGGGCTGCCGTAGTCCGGACCAGGGGCGAGCACCAAGCACGAAGTCACCGGGGGCACGGAATGATGGATGGATGCCCCCTTCCCTTCCCTTCCCTTGCCCCGTCTTGCGCGGGGATGCTGGGGGGCACCATATACGGGACTCCCTAGAGATCAATGTAACAAGCCATTGTTGCTCTGTCTTGAATGTTCGGGCCAACAGAGGCAGCGACGAAAACTCTGTCGTCTGCGGAAGGAGCCGCGGCATGCTGACGTAGACCCTTCCGTGACGTAGACCCTTCCGTCTCAGTCTCTCTCTCTCTCTTTCTCGAACCCCGCCTCCCGTCCGCTTGCGCCGCAGGCGCTGCAGAAGAAGGAGTTGACGTCGAGAGAGGCGGTGCTGAACGGCATCGCTTGGGACCCGGAAGAAGACGTCTTGTACCTCACAGGTGTGTGCAGTGCTGGCAAGGGAGAGGTTAATTTCTTCTTCAAGACATGGCAGGGTTTTTCAGTGAGGCAACCATGTTGGACAAATTATTCAATCGGGGAAGTTGGCCCCCTCTCTTTCTCCTCGCCTCTTTGAAGGTATTTTGCTTGTATCATCGACCACGCTCGCCGGCTGAGTCTTTTTGGAAGTCGCAGCTTAGCAGAAGATTACAATCGCAGACCGTCCTAGTCAGCGGGGCCTACTTGGCGAGGCCGCTGTTCTGAAAGGCTGGACATTGGAGTCTGAACGCATTGGTACAACCCGCATTGGAGTTGGTGTTGGTCCCGCCACCACAGACCCCCCCCCCCCTGTGTCTGGGCTTTGCCTCACGCGCCCATATCGTTGATGTTGATTGGTGGTTAGGCGGCAGCGCATGAGGTCAGAATGTGCTCGCCATGTGTCGTTTTCATTGTTGATTTTCGCGGGTAAGGTCCAGGAAGGGCGGCTTCCCGCCTTGTGGCTTTTTGGCTCCTTCGTAAAGCTTGCACTCGATGTGTGAGTGCGTTTTTTTCCGAAGAAGACATGTACCCAAGCTTCTACACGCTCGGTTCTGTTTGTCTTGCCCCCCCCCCCAGGTCAATGGTCTAACGACTACGGCATGCACGACTATGAGTACACCCCCCCCCCCCCCCCGGACGAAGAACGCCACTCTGGTAAACCTCTGTTTCCTGATGCTGCTCTACACCCGCTCTTTCTGTATGGTAAAACCTCTTTTGCTGCCTACTGCTGCTCTTCACAACAAACGCCAGGCAAGCTTTGGCCCAGGATGTACAAGGTTAAGCTCAACGACGCGAAAGCAGACGACGATGAGAAGGCGGGTCCGGTTTCCTCTGACGGCAGCGAGCGAAGACGACGGCAGCAGTAGCGAATAGCTTCGCTTGCACGGAGACTTGTAGCGCACCGCACGACAACACGCGCAAGGTGTGCCTTACGCGGCGAACGTACTACTGCTGTAGGGGGTCTCGAAGCTTTGCACCGTGGGCTTCTTTTGTTTCGTGTTTGGGTGGGTTGTATTGTGGTTGGCATGTATGACTTGGGTGGCTCGGGAAAGGTTTGGGTGCGCTGCGTGTCGGTCGGCGCTCAGTTCCTTCCCCCCAGTTTTTCGGCCGCACGCACAGAACTTTCGAGTCTGGAGAGACAAGAGAGTGCTGTCCTTCAACCAACGAAGGCGTACGCAGTGCTCACCGAACGGTAGTGAATCCCTTTCAATGCAAGCTTCCGTAGGTAGTACAGCAGTGTTGCGATCCGCTGCCGTGCGTCCGTTCTGCAGGTCGGGGCGAATGAATCTGCGCGCGCTCTTGATGCTGAGGGCGATAGGGACCTCTGGGGCTTTCCAGTGTTTTGTTTGCGGTCGGTGCTCTTTAGCGCTGACGACGCTTTCTGAAGCCTGACTCCGCTCTACGACAGGGGGGGGTTGGTGAACTGCTGGCCTGATTTGAGCTGCATTGGGTGCGCGTCCTTTGGGATCGGTTTATTGTTTGGTGTTGTGTGTGCAATGGTGTTAGTGTTGGAGGTGAGTAGTTCCACAGCGAGTGCAGCAACCAGAACCAAGCCGTCGCTGCTGTGCTGCCGTGACTCTGGTTGAACGCTTGCTCTCTAGATATGAATAGAAAAATTGAACGCCGGAACGCTCGGTGAGTGCCTAGACGCCTGGTGCCGTGCTGTCTCTGACTACAAGACGTGTTGACTTGATGATCTATGCGGCTGGTGTACATCAAGGGGCAGGGCCAAAAATTGCGAGAGGCAAAAAGGTAGTCGGTAGGTGTTGGACAGTGGGGCGGAAGGGGCGATGAAGAGGGATTCCTTATGTTGGATGATATGCATGTTGTAGACGGAGACTTTCTATTCTTGCGTTTCTCTCCGCTCAACCTGGTAGATGGAAGGTATCGGTTTTCAGCTCGCCATCAGCAGTATTGGCGGGCTGAAATGATCAGTGCTACATATGCTGCCGCGGCGTCCCTCAGCTGCTGGAACCTGGGTGTGCCGAGTTTGGGGTGGGCGCGCACGTGCTGCAAAGAGTATTAGAACTTTTCGTATCTTCCATCAAGAAGAGGAGTTCAGGAGCTGTCAAAAATTTCATCATCAATGTCTCGGAACCGTGTCCCCTGTAGTACGATATTCCCGAATGACCGGGGTGGTCCACGACCACGTCAATGTGCTTCATGAGCGCGGCTTTTCGTAGGGCGCTCCACCCTTGCCTATTGCGGTGCGTTGGAACGTATATTCGGATCTCGTCGCAGTCACACGAACCATTATTTTTTGTAGCAACATGCCGTGGCGGAGGAAGTTTTCGGATGTATACATGAGCTCTATACTGCTGTTGTCCAGAGAGATAACAGCAGTAGCGTCTACGAGAGCAAACGGCGGATGTATCTTTCCCGCCAAAATGAAGAAATTTAAAAAGCACACCAAGGACCACGGCCACGGGCGGAGAAAAAACAAACTTCTTCTCGACCGTCCTCCTGTCTGACTGACCCCGGGTGGTGCGATCATGTATTATGCCGACACGAATGCGTAGGTGTAGTGTCTGATGTCCAGAACATGTGCGATGCCATCGTTCTCCAGTATAAGGTGTGCCCCTCTTTGGGTACAAAAGTTAAAACGGAACGGTTTTATATGTAGTGTGAATGCAATTACCACGTCACGCAGCAGGTAGATGTCGTACCTCGTCGCCCGGAACCCGGTTAATCCTACAGTACGTGTATACCCTCACAGTCCCCGACAATCGAATGGAGTTCGCTTCTTGCTGCGCACAAAAGGCACTGGCGATAAACAAGAAGCTGCTGTTGTATGCCACACAAAAAAACACAACGGAACAAAGCAACTCCCTCCACAATATGACAGGATTGCGTATTGACGTCGAAGAATATATATGGGCTGGCTAGATACAACACAGATTAATAAACTACCGTAGATTGGGACAAACAGAGACACACTCACACAGCTGCTAACTAACTCAATTTTTGTGCTGGGATCTTGCTGCGGCTTCGAATGCCGCTTGTCTTGCTCCTCAACACCTCGAGTCTTTGTGGTGCAACGTTCACCGTGAATAAGTTTCTCCGAAGTTTCCTGAGGCGCTGACAACAGGTTCTCGCGAACAACTCGCGGAACGGTTCCAAGTACAGGACTCCTCGCAACGCCGCCACACACACGCGCACACACGCCGACCTACTCTTATACTCTCCGCACTCGAAAAACAACCATGTCGTCTCTCGGTGACAGCCACGCCATGCATGGCACATCCGGCGGCTGCAACCTCCTCGCCGCCGGAAAACGCGCCCTAGAAGTGATCGAGGGTGTGAAGATGCGAGGCGGGCGGATTGGTGAACGGACAGATGGGCATCGGAAGGCATGGATCACGCCCGACATCGCTTCAGGAGGTTTCAGCACTGGAAAGTACCTAGCCGGGGGACCTACGAAGCCTCATGAGGTGGTTCTCATTGAAAAGCACGCAATTTGCTCAGCCAGCGCCTTCAAGTGCTACCTTGGTACGAAACATGGAGCTATGCGTCGCCGTGCCATCAACCGCTGGTGTCTGACAACTCCACCGCCCCTCCACAGCCGCAGCGATGTCGCGCAGCACGGCTGCCCTCTCCTCCGGAAGTCCCGCAGACGCCGCCGCCACCGCGTCGGTCTCCTCTTCCAGGCGCCCGGCCAGCGAAGGCGGCAGCCCCCCCCCCGCGCTGCCACCCGCCCCTTCCTCGTCGACCACCTTCTTGAGGAGGCTCACGAAAACTAAGAACGCGCGGCAGCAGGCCGCCGCGCGGCGCGACTCGTCACGGAGGAACCTGTAGTGGGTGCTCTTCGCCCGTAGGCTCTCCGCGAGCCTCGCCAGGGCCACCGTCGCCGCATGCTCCAGCACGGCGGCGTCCTTGTCCATCTCGAGAGCGACCAGGAGGTGGAGGAGGTTGTGCGTGGTGGTCGCCGCGACGCGTTCGATAGCGATGCCGTTGTCCGCCACGGTCGTGCTGCTGCACCCCTTTGGCTCCTCGAGGCTCAACTCAGACCCCAACTCCCACATGCTGACGGTGCGGGAGGCGGCGTCGCGGGGGAACTCGACCAGCACTCCAGCGTAGTATTCCCCGTAGGGCGTGCCGGGGCCGAGAATATCCTCGCGCTGCTTCGCCTGGGCCCCGAAGGTGCCGCGGTGAACGTGGCTTCTTGATCTGAGCCGCAGCGGACTCTACCGCGTGCCGACAGCCGAGGAAGGGTGCTTGATGGCCATCGTCATCCTCGAGGAAGCTGGCATCTCGGCGGAGCACCTAATCGAAGAGGTCTCGCCGTGGTCTCACCTGCTACGATTTTTTCCCGAACCGGCCGAAACCGCAGCTGCTGACGGTTCGATCTCGAGTGTACGCGGCGTTGGAGACCTTTTGTCTACGTCGACCGCCCTTCTTCACCGCTTCGAGGGCAAGATGGTTGCCGATCGGTTGCGAATGACCGCTGTCGAGAACATCTACATTCCCACTTACAAGGCCGTGGTGGAAGATGCTAGGCGCTTTTGTGTGCTGTGGTCGGCTCGAGTCAACACAGCAGCAGCAGCAGCAGCAGCAGCAGCAGCAGCAGCAGCACCGGAAGACGACCCCCGCTGCCTAGCGCCTAGTGTTGTTTTGCGCCTCGCCACGATGCGCGCTAACCTCGTCCTCTTCGGTTTCGAGAAAAAACTTCGCCGGTCTTCCCTAAGCAAGCTTTTCGATGCGCTGGAGGTGGTCGTGCTCCACGGCGACCAAACCCGTCAGACGTTCGTGGAGCACATCCAGCGCCACGCTGACGCGGCATCCACTAGGCTGGCGCGCCGCGGCAGCAACAGCATCCCCCCCACCGCAGACATGTCGCCTCGCCGCCAAGCCTTCTTGCACCAGCTCCGAGGCCTTGTCCAAGAGCTAAGGCAGAACGAGTCCCCTTGGAACGGCCTGTCCGCAGATCGTGTTGCGGACATGTCGAATCGATTTCCACTCTTTAGTGTCGAGATCAGGTGCGTCACGCTGGGGACGTTGGGGGAACTTGCAGAGGCAGGTATCCTCAGCTCTTCGGAAACGCTGGCGCTACAGGCCGTGAGTGTTGCCGTGAAGCACCGAGCGACACGCTTTGCCCCTGAGCCAGCCCGCACCCTCGCGCTCCATCTATTGACTGCTTTCATGAAGCGAAGGTCGCGCCTGCTCCTCGCTCTTGCCACTCAAGTCCGCGTTTCAGAGATCCCGTGGTTCGGCGCGCTCGCCGAAGCTTTCGAGGCGAAGAACAGCGATGGTCAGCTGGGTGAGGTCGTGCGTCCTGTGAATCCCGTGGCGAGGGAGGTCTTCCGGGCGCACGTGACCTGCTTCGCCGGCACGCAGACGCCGAACAGGCTCGTGAGGTTGCTTGGTGAGTACCTGGAGTGCAAGGGTCTGGTGAAGGAGATCGCGGCCGACATCTTTCAAGGAACGGCACCCGGTCTTCTTTTTGCCGCCTACGGAGGAAGAACAATAATAGTAAGATTGCTGTGTCTGGGTGAAACAATCACCTGTAGTTGAAAGGGCACCCTGTGTCCGTGTTGATACAGGGTCATGGGGGGGGCAAGCCAGGGTCAATTTGGGAGGGATTGACAAGCGGCGAAGAACCCCTGTCTTTCTTGACTTTGCTGCTCAGGGGTTATAACCATATAGAAGTATTGAACTTGTGAAACAAAATGATCAACATCGAGGATTTTGGCGAAGCTCCGAAGTCGGCGACTTGTTTCACGTGCGCTCGTAAGGTGGAGTGCGGGGTACCGGGGTAGGTCTGTGGAAAGCCTGCAGAGCCACCGCCGCTTTAGTCGTATGTAGGTCCCGAGCATTGGAAATTGTTGACCGAGTGTTGTGTCGGCATAAGACGTACTACAGTGCTTCTTCGAACGTTCGAGCAACGGCGTACTGTAGCTTCCAACCACTCCTCGGCGTCACGAAGCGGTCTTGTTGTTGTCGTGTGTTTCGGGTTTCGAACCTGCTGGCGGGTTTAGCGTGGGAAGCACAACGGCGAATGGGGGCGTGTTTCGGTGTTGTTGTTGTTGTTGTTGTAGTTGTCTTCACATTATAGGTGTTTTGTCAACTTTCGCTCGTGGCGCATTATTTACATTCTGAGTAGAAAGGTGAAATCCGTTTGTTGTGACACTTGCCAGGAGGTGAAACTGTTGGGAAGTTGGTTCCATGATCTTTCGGGTAGTTTCGTGTGGGACTGCTTGCGCACTGAAAAAAACTGGAGGCTGTGGGCTAACATCGTGTTGGCGATCTGATGTTGGTACTAGTGTTGGTGACCATGGCTGTCTGGGAAGGTGGTGATATCTTTGGCGGTCGGGGCACAGAGGAATAGTGGCGTTAAGCTGATTGTTGTTGTTATGGTGGGCTGCTTGATTTTGTTGATTGGCTGTCGCCTGGGAATCAATGACACGTTGGCTTCTTGTTACACTCAACAGAAAGGTAATGACGCAGACACGGCCGAGAGGTAATCGAGTGAACACCTTGTAGACATGGGAATCATCGTTTTCAACTTTACCCAAGTTCAGGAGAGCACCATGCATTCCACCATCCGTGCTCGGTGTCAGTCTTTGCATCACACGGCGCGCATACATAAAATGCACAACGTCCTTAGTGGAACCAGGCAATAAAACGTGTTTACTTCGCCCGCGCCTGTATCAGCTACTCGCACTGGAGCCAGGCCCGCGCGAGGTTGTAGGAAGCTGCCTGTTCTTTTCTCTACCTGGGCCTTCTGGTATCATGGGTCGTGTACATGGCTCGTGAATATCTCGATGGAAGAGTGCTGGTCTACCGTCTAAACTCGAAGTACAGTAGTCGTGTGTATAAACAACCCTGTACACACACGCGGACGACCTGTACCTGTCAAGGAATGATGGGCGAACGCGACAGTAGGTGATCGAGTTCAGGCGGCCCTGCGTTTCCTCTCGGTGTGTTTACCAGTTTTATTGTCTCGCAAAGGGACTCGAGGAAGCGGCACAACTACTAGCCGCATGTGATTTGAAACTGATTTCTGAGTGAATCGTTGGTCGGTACAGAGCACGCGAAACTACCAGAGGGAGCCTCTCACCGCATGATGCACCCGAGCGTGGCCATCGTACAACACAAGCCATGCCCTCAACCTGTGGACCACATTGGTTTACATTATCCGTAACCATGATTGTCACGTCGATCTTCACAAACCCAATACGGCCGATGAAAAAAATATTTCTGAAATATTTTACTAATTTTGATTGGGCAATTTTTCTTGGTGTTTCGTGTAGTCACTGCGCGGACTATTGATATCGATTTTGTATCCCGTCACCTCATCACCCAACATGACTGCACACCGATGTCGGGGCTGGTTTGAATGGCCGGCCTGGGCTTTGTGGAAAAGTGTGATTGTCGAGAGTTCATATGTGGATGTGGCTATATCTCTTCACAAGAGTGAAAACATCGAAAGTGAATGAAAGGCGTTATGGGCGCGAAGGCGAACTGTCGTTAGCGCACATTACTGAGACGGGGCTGCTGAACCCTTGTCGCCTCAAGAGTTGAAGTAGCCGTAGAAAACACACGGGGAACTCGTTGGATGCGAGTATTTTCCTCAAGTTTCCGTCCTGCACGCGTTTCGCTCCCTTGCCCCCTTTTTCGTTTGAGACGACGTATCAGTAAGGACCGAACCACACGATGCAGGCGTCTATACCCCATCTCTTCGAGTGAGGCCCGTCGAAAAGCGAGAATATTTCAACCGGGGATATCATGGAGTGTTTGGCATCCTGAGGCCGCGTCCACGGCCGTCATTTGTAAAGATATCGTTCAATGCCGAGGAGCACAGCAACGCTTTTTCCGGACGCTGGCTAAAGACAAACATCGTAGCCATTGCCGACAAATATACTTAGAGCTTGGATTACGACCTAACCCAGCACATGGCGCTGTTCAGCGCAAGCAAGCAGCGAAGCGCCCCCTGCCTAGCCTCTTACCTCCGCTGCTCACAGCGAGAGTTCGACCACAAACTGAGGGGCAATAAAGTCGCACAGCATTATAGGATGCGGTGATCCAAACATGATGCTAGATTCACTCCACACGGATTCTTGCGCTGCTGAGGGAGCCCCAAACAAAGCCAGCGAAGAGTGCAGATCAGTCGTAGGTTGTGTACCTGTAGCGGCGGAAAATACCTGCACCTAGAACTACCGACAAGAAACATACACTACAGGTCTCGTATCGAACACTACATGGAAAAAATACATTATTGCCGCAATCTCGGTACATTTACCGCCTGCCGCAATGTTGACGCAAAATGCTGGCCAGAAGATCAAAACTGCATCGCAACAACACGGCAGAAAAAGAGGGGAAGTGATGAAAACGAACAACCTGCATGGTTCTGTGCTGTCTCCAACCGGGCGAAGTCACAAATGAAGACGGCTAGATCAACAACACCGTTCCCCTTAGGGTTGTGTTGTCGTGGGCGTCTCTCTGTCGCCCTTCGGTTAGGCACATTCGAACACCCGACGAAAGTCTCGACTCTAACTTGGAGATGTTCACATTGCGCTCTTCCGTTGGAGGCATACAGCAGCGGCGTACAGGCACCCCGTGTTCCAAGTCAATGTCATTCGCGGCCCCCCGTTGCCGTCAGGACCTACCGTACGTTCTCGCTCGCGAGCATCCCGATCGATTCCCCTAACGCCGATTCAGAGCTTCCCACACGCGCGTTAGCTGCTTCTCCTGGCTGCCTTTGGGACAAAATCACCACACAAATTACCGAAGAGCTCGGGATTTCTGGAGTCGAGTAAAAACTACAGCAGCAACCACTCGACGGCAAGCCACCTCTTTGTCCAGCTTAAAAAGTACTCTACGCGTGGTCATGACACCCCCAAGGGCTTGCTACTCGCTTGAATCACGAGCCGTTGTTGGCCGCCGCGGCCTTCTTCATCTGTCTTCTCTCGCGCCGATTGCGGCCCCCGCCTTCGCCTGCCGCCGACTTTCCCCCGGACACTGTCCCCACCTCTTCTTCCGTCTGGTGACAAAATACAGGGAGGGGGGTGCTGTAATCTAGGTAACTAGCAGGACCCGGCGGGGGTGGGGGGGGTGGGGGGTGAGGACGCAGTGACTATCACAACCACGGGCGGAATGTGTCATAATGCAACCGCTGCCCTACTCCTCCAGACCGTGGAAGTTCGCGCCGCATCTGTGAAAGCGGGAGACAAGCCATACCGCGGGGTTGACGCCGTACACTAAACGCTACACAAGCTCCGGTGCTGTCGCCTAGAACCTGATTCGCCGCCGTACAGGCACATGCCCTCGTGCTATCGCGGAGCATGCTCCCGGAGGCCACTCACCACCTTAGTCTTGGTGGCCATGGCCACGCAGTAGGGGTCCACGAGGTTGGTCACCATGTTCACTTCGACCGTGCCCAGGGCTTCCCGCAATGCGTCCACCTTTTGGGGCGAAAATTGAATTGGTTGAATGGTTTGTTGCTAGGTTTGACCGGTGTGTTCGCGGTGAGAGAGGGTGTGAAAGTCGAGGCAGGGCAAGGCATCGTACCGCTGAGCCGCCATCGCGTGATTGCAGTTTACTGTTACTGCGGCCGCTGCTGCTGAAGCTAATGTTGGTCGTTATGAAAATGTGGTAGTCGTTATAGGTGTGTCTCGAAGACGAGCGTTTCAGGGAATTCACTCGTTGTTCACTCCACGCAACCAACACCGCTGGTAGGCACTCCCGACGCAGCCACGCAACAAAAGCAGGCCGAAAACACAAGGTGTGCGTCTATACGGTAGCAGATATGCCACCTGCTGTGTATATACTTACCATGCAGGAAATACGTACAGATGTGCTACACGTCGGGGTGCTTTTGCTTGCGTCGTTAGGCGACGGGAAAATCGTCTGGAAAAACGCCCCTTCCCCTTTTTTCCAGAAGAACGTGAGAGAGGGTCTACGGCAATGAGGCCAGGCCACGTTCGATACGCGCTGACACCAACACCCAATGACGAGGACAAAAACACCAGCACCACCATCAACGCCAGCACCGGCACAATCTGCTAGCTAGCCTGGCACGAGTGGCACCGCCCCCTCATGAACAGGGGGGACTATCGTCCACCACACGCCCCGCCGGGAGGGGGGGGGAGCACTCGACGCATTCCTCCGGCTCCACTGTGCAACGTCCGCCGTACACAAACAAGAAACACCAACTGCTGTAGCTGCTTGTTCTCCTTTTCTTTCTGGACAGACAAACGAGTTTTACACACGTGTATTCTCACCAACTCTTGCGACTCCCCCTTCTCCACGAACAGCACAGTCCCGCCGGGCTTGAGCACGCGAGCCACCTCCGACACCAGGCCCTTGAGGGTACCGGCGGCGGCGGCGTTCGCACCTGCGAAATTCCCGAGGAAAGGTAGATGTGTGTGTCTCTCAAAAAAAGCATCGACCGCGCTAACCGGCTGACCAAAAAATATTGTGGAAACGTACAGTGTTGTGCTCCTGAAAATAGCATCGACCGCGCTAAACCGGTTGGCCAATCCGAGTTGCGTGATAGTGTGCGATACGTCATGGCAACCGGTGACTGTACGGCCGTAGGTGGCTCTCGGACGAACGGGTCTTTCGAAGCCCGGGGCGAAGGCGCGTCGGGGTTTCCAACGAAGGGAAGGGGGACGGGGTTCCCGGCCCGTGGCCTCGACCGCCATTGACTACACCCAATCCAAAATCGGTACCGGGTACGGTTTCGTACCCCAGACAAAACGGGGGGGGGGGGGGTAGATTCGCTCACTACGGGTTGTGCCTCGTTCTCACGGCAAGCATAGGATTGCAAAAGCCCGTTGTAGCGGAAGGTAGGCGGAAGGTAGACATGCAGCCCGGTCTGTTACTCCTGTGCATGCATGCATCATCCCCATGCTTTTCGTGACGGGAATATATCATCGTGGTGGTGGTGGTGGTGTTGTTGCTCATCCTGGTGTTCATGAAGGCACACACACACACTACCCACGCCATCTTGGTGTCCTCTCGCCAAAACCTCTCGCAATAGCTGTTGCACCTGTTGTTGCTGTCAATTATACTTCTTTCTTTGATGCTAACCCACGCGGCAAACATTCTCAAGGGCCGAACTTGGGGGGGGGGTCCTACAGTACAGCACACCACAGCATACCCCTCTCCGCGGGACGCGATTTGACGATCGATTCTCAACGGAGACAAAGACCAGTGCCAATCGTCAACAATGAGGTTCTCGTCAACCTCCTTTCCACATCATATACCCGCGTGCTACCGCGGGGCAATACCGGTATGGACCCGCCAGATTCACCGGCACCATGAATACCGGGCACGCGGCATTACCTAGATAACCAGTCAACTTGGATTTTCCATCCACGTTGCATGATTTCACCATGACTGTGTCGGGCAGTGGCATTCCACATAGCTACCGCTTGCAATCCACCCACACAAGACACATTGGTGAGGACTTAGGCACCCAACGTCGCAAACACCCCAGGCTGGTATCTACCTTTGTTGGACGCCGCCGCGGCAGCGACGCCGCCGGAGAAGCCGTAGACGGAGACTACGCAGTCCATCGTGCCAGACGTGCAGCTGATCTTGGTCCCCTCCTGCTTCCGGACGAGGGCCGTGGGGATCTTCGCCTGGATGGCCGCGCCGTTGACGATCTCCTACGAATCACGCGACGGCGACAACGCCACGTGATAAAGCACGGCCACGGAGAGGAGAGGGTCGACAGAGCAGGATGCAGGATTTGCAACGAGGTAGGCGTGTAGGCATCCAGCAAAAAAAGAAGATATTATCCACTGCTGTTCGGCGAGGCATGCACTTAGCGTGGGCAGCCGCGCGGGGTTATTATCTCATCTGCACGCCCATCGCGTGATGCCGTACCATGACATTTTTTCGTCGGTACGGGAAGGGATGACTCTGCCGCCGCGCGTGGTTGCGATGCGAGTAGGCGGCCACATGTATGAAATCTTCAGGCGGGCGAGGAGCTGCGATTCCCGTCCAAAATGCAAAGCCTCGACCGCCGACGTGTGATAACCGTGGGGTCCGATGGCAGCCTCGTGCTTGCGAGCATCACATGCCGGCGGTCGAGGCTTTTTCATTTTGGACGGGAACCGTCGCTCCTCGCCCGCCTGAACATTTCAACAAGTGACAAGGAGAGAGAGAGAGAGAGAAACATGGTGCTTTCGTTGGAACTAAAGGTTTGTGGAACTAAAAGTTCAACGCTAGCAAGCCGCAGAGAGCCAGGCAGGGACGGATAGCAACCCATGCTCGTCTGAACGCGGGTCCGAGCAACGTAAGAGGCGGCAGAAGGCGAGTTGGCAGTAAACGAGGGGGATGGAGGCAACAAAACGTCGTGAACGTCTAACTCACGATCACCACACGCATGCCAGAACGAGCAAGATAGTCTGTATGGCCAATACCCCCCATCGGAGCCCTTCTCCGCTAGAGAATGGAGGACCGCGAACAGCAGGGGAACGGCGCTATTGACGACCGTCAGTCAATCTTGCCGTCTTTGGTATCTTAGGTGTCGTGATTGCCTCGGCATGGACACATCACCTCGCTATTCTCCAGGACCCCTCTTCCGCAGCATCCAAGCGGATGTCGGACGCCATCAACAGCAACAATAACAATCGGCTGACAGAAAAAGCACACACCCAACACAAAATCCCGACCCAAGATTTGTCCCGCCATCAAGAGCGCCGAAAAAATACTAATATGCAAACAATAAAAAAAAACGCACGTTCTCGAGATCCTTGACCGTGGAAAGCGTTAGCCTCCGCACGCCCCCCGTGGGCATGTAGTACAGGGTCTTGGTGTCCTTAGCGCTGAGCTCTAGCACTTCCGCTCCTCCCTGTATCGCCGGCACCCGGTTGGTCAACAGTGCCGCAACCTGTTTTCGTTTCGTTGTTCGAGCGCGAAGCAGGGACGGTCAGTCCCATCCGAGATGGTGAGGGGGGGAAAAGGGTAACCTCTTGTGTACATGAATGAGACAGTGAACAAAATCACCACACAAGGGGTCCTGGGAGAAGAGGAGCGTGCGCTGCCCACGTACAAACGCGCAACCTGCCAGCCCAAATTCTGTGAGCGTCTGGCGCTGAAGGATGCGGTGCATACGCCCGTCATACCACTCATCGGGACACCGGCTGTTTGCCGGAAGAGGCGGCGTTGTCATAAGGTGGTAGGCGACACCCATTTTGTACGCGTGATCTGCAGCACCGACCGCCAACAAAGTTCTACCTTGGCCGAAATCGGGAAGAGGGACGCCATGGGAGTGATGTACAACACAACCAATGATGCCCACACTGCTGCTGTAAGACCTCTCAATATATGTAGCCTGCTGTTACCCAAAAAAACACGGCGTAACCTCCAGCAAGATCTAGTTTGGACTTTTTTTGTTGACTTGGTGGCCGAATTGTTTTATTGACCTCAGCTTAGACCGAGTTCTGGCGGTGGCAGCACCTAAACTGGACCGTCTGGGCTTCACCATAGGCCCAATGATAGCCCTGCAATACTCCAACACTCGTATATTAGTACTTGTATCGTTTTGCACAGACCCGACCCTCACATTCTCTTACCTCAAATATGAACCGGAACTCGATTTCGCCGCAAGATGCACACTGCTGTGCTATTTGCGGATTCACATGCGTTCGTTGTGCGGCTCAATAGCCAAAGTTTACTATGTACCGACCCCGAACCAGGCATTCTTTCTCGTCGGCCTAGAATGCTACGTGCGCCTTCCGCAGTGCAGAATTGTACCCACGGCGCTGTGCAGGCGATTTGTGTCATCCTTTATGCACATGTGTGAAAGCCAGACACAAGACGTTGCTGACATCTACATAGTATTACGGCTCAACGGGTACATATGCGTAAATCAACTATATGGCAAAAACGAGCAACTTGTGCTCCGCACACACCGAACAGCAAGAACGAAAAGAAGCAGCCGCACAAACACGCCGAGCGGGAGACACGTGCTCGCTACCGTACTACCGCGGACCGGAACATGCGCAGGATCGGGTGTCGCAAACGGTGGTCCAAGCACACTACTGTAGATACCAACACATGTTCCCCTTGGCTTCTTCGTATGTTTCGCGCAACCGCAAAAGACAAAACGCAGTTAAAAACGCCGGCACGCAACCACTGCACTCACCACGTACTGCATGCGCCAGTAGACTGCCGTCGAGAACCCGGCGGCGGCAACGCCGAGCCCGCCCAGGGCAAACAGCCCCAGCTTCGCCGGATCCATGTCCAACAGCCCGCCGCCGCCAACGTCGTCCGCCAACATGACCGCCCACGGCGGCGGCACCGCACTGCCACCGACAAGCCCACCAGCACGCAACACACCCTGCGACAACTGTTCCACCCCTGCTGCTGCTGCTGCTGCTTCCGCTGACGGAAGCATCATGTGCGGCGGGGGGCTTCGCCTTCCGGTGCAACGGCGGTGGCTCGCTGCGATGTTCACGTTCGGGGAGACAAAACCAACCGCGGTGGGGGCCAGCAAAGAGCTCGCCAATGCGAGCACGGCGCACATGGAGGATCGCCATGCCCTGGAGGGTGTCATCTCTCTCAAGAGTAGAGAGGGGTGGCCAATGCTGTAGCGTTATCGTAGACAGAAGATGCCGTACCGGTACTGCAAGTTGGCGAGGGGGAGACGCAATCTGCATTGACGAAACCCATACCCACTACGTGTGCTTCCGCGTCGCACACGCTGACTCTTTTTCTCTGTTCGCAGCTTTCTCTTTGCGAGCAAAGCGCGCTGGGTCCATCTCCTGCCTCACGAACAGCACACGATGCACCAGAGCGCAGCACTACTACGAAGAATTCTTCATCTGCGCTTGACCCAGCCCCGACGCTGGCTGGGTACAAGAGTGCGTTTCGCCGAAGGTGGAGGCTGCAGGTGGGTCATGTTTGCCGAAGCCCAGCGGTCTGGCAGCTGCTCGTTTGACCTCGGTCGCAAGCAACTACAGCAGTATCCCAACAACATCCAGCACGCTGGCTGGGACCATTGGTGTTGTGACCAGGCTCCAGTTGGGGCCTATTTCTCCCTCAGAGAGCAAGGCTTGATGTTGCCGACCGTCCTGCTATTGCAGTGTTTTCACCGGCGGGCACGTCAACATTGCAGGACCGCCGTAGTCATGCTCTCCGCCCCTGGGACGCCACGCCCCCACATGAGATGCTCTTCGAGTTGGTGTCGTGCGGCACGATCATGCGCACCAGCCAATAGGGCACTCTCTCAAAAGCTCGGCGTGCAGCGCAATCACGCAATCATGCCGCATTGGTTCCTTCTCGTCTTCTCGTCGTGTGTCTTTCGTGTCTTTGCGAAAAAGCATCATGAACCCTCCACGCGCGAAGTCAACCCGCACCCCCCCCCCCCCCCACCGGGCCTCCGACACAACAGCGTCGAACACGGCGACGGCGACGACGACTGCACCGCTCCTCCAGGTCCGGGACAAGTCGCCGTGAAGCTTCTGGCGGCCCCTTGCACACCGGCGGATCTCCGCGCAGTAGCGACTCGGCCGCCGCCGCCGCCGTCACCGAACCATCATGCCAGCGGCAGTGGGCTCGAGTTCCCCCGCACCATCGGCGGAACCGAGGCCCTCTGGGAGATAACTGCCGTCGGGGGGGATGTTTCCTCCCTCCGCCCGGGCGACCTCGCGGTGCCTGTGGTGGCGGGCAACGATCCCGGGAACGGTGCTAGGCAGGCAGCAGGGACGTGGAGGACAAGGGCAACGCTGACCGAGGCTTCTCTCGTGAAGGTTCCGATAGGGGGATCCGGCGCAGCGGCGGCAGGGGTACTAGAGGAGAAGGGAGGCGATGGTGGAGGGGTCGGGTTTGAGGTGGCCGCTCACTGCTCGGTTTCGGTGGCAACGGCGATTCGAATCCTGGAAGATTTCGTGGAGAAGGAGCTGGGGGCCGGGGACCGTGTCGTTTTCACCGGAGCTTCCTCCGCTGTGGCGCAGGCAAGATGTTGGTCCTTCCTGTTTTTCTATTTAGCGAGATCGTGGGTCTTGAAACTGACACATGTATCCGCTTGACAGGTGAGGCACAGCTTTAATCTCGTATGGTATTGGAGCGATATCAGGTATGGCGCTTGGTGGGTGGCGTTCTTTTGCATGCACTAGACGTAGGTCATCAAGCACGAGACACGTACATAGGGTGAACAGCACGCTTCTGTCGTGTGAGTGCTGCATCACCGACGGGTACCCTACACCAACAATTCTACGCCAGCACACGTTACCGCTGTGCGAGTTCTATGCGGCAGTGCCACCAGCAACGTAGGTGTTAGATGCAGATTCTGCAGCGGCATACACACGGCATAAACGAGCTGTTTCTGTTTTCTTTTTGTCACCGCCGTTAAGATAATTTGGGACGCCTGAAATTTGGTCTTCCATTTTTCCTGTGACAACGGAAGCTGTCCACGTCGCCTGGACCAATACGCATGTTGAAGGTTTTCACCAGAGATCGGGGCGGCGTTCGATCTGAACAACTACAACACTCCCTTTGTTATGAGCATGGGGCTCCCGGCGAGCTGCCGGTGCGGAACACCTCCAGCATCTATGATAGATAGTAGCTGGACATGTTGGTGTTATGTTGCGCCCTTTACTCAAACGTTTAAACAGCGGTTTCGACGGCATGCGAACTGGTAAAGATACATCATCGCTTGTTTCACTGATCGTTTTTTTCACGCATGTATGGTGCTTGCGTATCTATGCCTCACAGATTCTGCTGCAGCTTGCGGCATCACGGGGGCTCGAGAGCGTTTGCCTCGTCAACAGCGAGGAGGAAGCCGCGCTCGCCCTCAAGCTTGGGGCCTGGAAAGCGACCCTGCTCAAAGAGGTGCACCCCCGTACAGCCTCCACGCGTCTCCCGCCACCCGTGCTCTTGTGCGCACGCAACTGGAGGGCCTTGCAGTAGCGCATTTCAGGTTATCCCTGCCCCTTCCCCTGTAGCCGACCTTATCCCACCGCTATTCCTAAGACCTGGCGCGCGTAGAGGTGTGCGTTTGCTATCCCCGCCTCAGAGTTCGTTCCTTCTTTTGGCTCTCCTACTGCTTGCCTTAAACGTCAAGCCAGGGGCCCTGTGAAGGCGATGAACGGTTGTTAGGTTTCGCGGACACAGGAATATCCCGCTAACAGTCTCATTCAACGGTATCGGCTGCCTCACGGGGAGCGCGGGCTTTCTCGTCGCAGCTAGCAGAACAATGACTCTACCCCCCACCCCCCACGCGCACCTTCACTGCTGGGATCCCCTCGCATCAGTTCAAGGCGATGAGGATGGATAACGCCTGTATAGTAGCGGACGGGGAGGGGGGCGTGCTGGGTTTCACAGCTGCGAGGGCGTTACGGTTCCGGGGATGTTTCGTCTCGTACGCCGACCTGTCGGGAGGTGGAGTCAGGTACGGGACAGGTGTACGGCGAAGGGAAGTCTTTGACGAAATGTTTTTGGCCCCCTTGCCGGAGTTGTTGATGCGTGCTGCATGTCACGGACTTGGTTGCAAAAATATGAGTTTCGTTCACTTCGAATGGGGCGGAGCGTACCCGAACAACGTGTAGCCACGGAAGGCTGATTTGATAGACAGCGGTTGGCTCGAAAAATGTTTCATCCTGTCCGAAATCGATCACGGTTAGTTCGTTCGATACAGCGCGCTGATGCTGACCTTCGTCTGTCTGGCCACACGCGAAGGCCATAATGTTGAGTGTTCGAAACGCCCAAACCAACACCTGACTTCTAAGGGAAGATTGAAGATAGTACCGTCGAGGAGTGAACTTGCCGGTGCCACCCTTGGTACATGGCCAACCCCGCCCGTATTCCCCCACCCAAAGTTTAACTAAATTTTCTCGCGCTCCCCCCCCCCCCCCCTACCCGCCTGCAACATTGGAAAATACTCACCTCACCCCTCCCCCCCCGCGGGCCATGCCCACGCTCGAATTGTAAAACAACCCCTGCAAAAAAAATAAAAAAAAGCCTCCCCGTGGCGGGCCAGATTTTTTCAGACACCAAGTGCAGGGGCTTCTCGCTCCGGAGGTGGGCATCGTCACGGCCGCCGTCGGAGAAGAGAGAGCTCGTGGAGCGGTCACTGGGGGTGGCGGCCTCGGCGGGGCTGCGGCTCGAAGGGGCGAGGGATTTCCCACTGAGGGAGGCCGCGCTGGCGATCGACACCTTGCGGCAAACGGGATGTCCCGTATTGCTTCGCGGTTCTGACTAGTGTGTGTGTGTGTGTGTGTGTGTGTGTGTGTGTTTTTTTGTCGTCAGTGCTCGCGTGAGCGATTGTGCCGGGTAGGAGGAGCTGGCGCCAATCCGCGGTCACGCAGAAGGATTGCTCCTCCCCCTGAGGCCCCCCTACCCAAGCGCTCGCCTTCGATTATTTTCGTATTGGACAAAAAGTAGCTGTAGAGCCGCCCGTTGTACAGAAGACGATGGTTATATGTTGTCGGGTATACCACAGTAGGTGAACGGCGGCTTGCAGTGAACGAGGTTTTCAAATCGGGGGGTTGCTGGTCGGTATTTTTTTAAGGAAGGGACGCAAACCACGCTTTGCATGGAGTCGGTGTGGGATAGATGCATTCACACGCTCATCTTCCGGGTGTGTCGTTGTTTTCCGGTAGTCTAAACGCAACGCTGAAGTCATACGAGGCTTTGTTCGATGCAGCGTACGCCGACAACAGGAGTGAGGTTGGTCCATGAGTGACAAGAGTCGGGTGATGATAGAGTCGGGTGATGCACCATTTTGCGGTGGCGGGGTGGGGGGGCGAGGTGCTTGACTCTCCTGTAGATACAGCCTAAGTCGATAGTGGTTCTAGATGGTCGATGACTTGTACAAGGTGGGGTTCTAACCCTTTCTTCGTGGAAGCGACGAAATTTCTTTGAAAAAATATCCTCGGCTTTCAGCCAGCCCCTTTCCTCTTTAGTAATCAACCGTGAGCAAACGATTTAGCGGTGCGATAACTCTCATCCACCCCCCCAGGATATCGGGATTGTTTTGTAGTTCAGCGGTAAGATGCGCCCTTTTTTTGGTCGTCCTTCCGTTACACCTGTTGCGCAGTACGAACCCCGTGAAGCAATACCGCCGCGGGTCCCCCGGTTGACAGGCGCAGAACTTGCCCTACAAGGGCGATAGACGTTGTGTGCGTCATGCTTTTTTGGATCTGTCTTCAGCGTGTTTGGTGGTTTCTTTTTTATTCTTGGATTGTTTTTACCTACTTGTATACTTGGGCGTTTTCGTTTTGCAGGCGCGGCATTTGGATGTGGACAGCTGTTCTTTCGCGTGCAAATATCCGAGCCTCGTGACCCATGTGAATGAACTTGGAATGAAACTTGATGATTATTCATTTATCGTCAAGAAGCGAACGTCACTTTTGTGGAATGACCGCGACTCCCTCTATGTTCCAGCATCGGTTTCCCTTCCTTGCCGTGTAATTCCTTGTAGTTCTTTCGGGAACCATCGCGCAGTAGACGGATGGTGTTTCGTGTAGCGTTTTCAGGCACGTCGCGTGTTGTCCTGCTGCGAAATTTCACTGCGCCGCATACGGCTCGGTGCCCAGGAGGAAGTGAAAATCCCACATCCCGACGACCTCGACGTCGGATTCGAGTCAATCTTGCTATGCATAGTGGCCGGCGTGCTGTGCCTTGTGGGGCATAGTACTCCGGGTTGACTTCGTTCGTTATAGCGACCGAAACGAGCGTCGCCACACTCAAAGCATCGTTCGGCGTCATGAACGAAGCAATACTACTGTTTGCCATCTGGCCTGTATTGAAAAAAAAGAACAAGTGTGCATCACGCCAGCAATCATCACGGCCGCACACCTGCCCCCCCCATTGTGCCACGACATTGTTGGACGGGACTACACTCTTCGCAAGCGAACCCACTGCTGTGTGGCCTACTACTGTGTACATCGAACTTCACTACTTACGCCCTCTTCTATCTTATGGCTGCGTATGCTCGAAGGTCACTCTCAAGGCGATCCTCCCCACAGAAACTGGTACAACATCGCAGAACGTGAGCCGGCATCGAAACATTGCAATTCATGGGAACCTCAACCCTGCTCGTTTCGTGCGCCGAAGCACACCGTGCTGAACCACAAGTACTCATCGAGAGCACTACATATTTTAGTATACTACTTACAACAAACATGGGAAAAATTGACATAAAGTACGGAGTATCGCTTAGACGATGCGGCCGGCACACGCACCACTATTGGCTCCCCCTCAACAAACGCCCATATCGGGCAGGCAATTTGTCCGTGTCATGCGCGAACACCCAAAACAGCAAACAAGCACGGCCCAAGAGCACGGAGAACGACCGCTGCTCGCTACTGCTGTGGGCGTATGATCACAAGAAGAAGACTGAAACAAAGCCCAGGGGCGAAAAACATCAAATAACGCGGTCTCCCTTATCCAGAGGGTGTGTGGCACAAGTCAACCGACGACGTTTTCGAAAAAAAACTAAAGAGCAGAAGGAAACTTAAGACGTAGCCAGCTCATGAAACGGCTCTGGGCTTTCTGTGTCGAGGTACCACCCCCACACAAACACGCCTTCCAGTTTAACCTCGAAGCCCTTCTCCACGACGTGGAGAGAGTACCCGAAGCTAACGATCTCGTCGGCGCCATTACTGTCGACGCCGCCTTCGTTTTCCCTGCGCAGGCGGTGTCGACGGATGATTCTTCCCAGCGTCGCCAGCGAGTTCGCCTTCCTCAGCTGCTTCTCGACCCAGTTCCCTCGCCCCCCACTCTGGTCGAGGTTCTCGGCTTGTCTCCGAAGCGGGTTGCGCTTCTCCATGACGATTTGTCCCCCAATCGTCACCACCTGGACCGAGGGCGGCGGCAACATGGCGGAACGGTAAGTATCTCAAGTGTTGCAGTGTGGACGTCGTGCAACTCGGCAGCCTGTACTCTAGTCCAGAGTGCTGACCTCTACACTATAGTCCAGTGTACGAATGAGACTGTTCGATGATGCAATAGTACACGCGTTAGAGGGTGTTAGACGTGAGTTTCCTGCGGCACTTCATAGAACGAACATCAAAATGATAAACCCGGGCGTTGACCCGCGGTGCCGTGTTGGGTTAGGGACAAACAAGATAACGAAAAACGGGGAAGGGCAAAAATACTTGGCGTGGGAGCTCTAGAAATATAGAGTTCTTGATCTGCGTCGAGGAATGATATGAAGCGTCAAGAACAAAGCGTTATGAGCGGAGCGGTGCAGTCGGACGTACAGCACTCACTGCACACACACGCCACGGCTGGGATTTTCCGAGGACCTACGAGAGAGAATGTACGGCTGTCGGGATACACGTGTTTGTGGGAATGCTAATTGCATGACCTCATGGCGATACTTGATTCAAAGCAACCACAATCGATCAATTCCTTCCATTCCTTCCACTCACCACGTCCCCAGTCTTCGTAACCTGGAGCACGATGTCGTCCCCAAAGTACCGCTGCGGTGGGCTACTGGGGACGTTCTTGGCCACTGCTGTTGTTGCCTCACTTCCGTCGTCGTTGCTGCTGCTTCCGCCGGTACCGCTGCGTCTGTTTTCGTTGTCGTTGCTGTCTGTGGCCCTTCGGCCCTTCGATGAGCGGCTGCGGCGGCCCGCTGTTGAGGAAAGGTTGGGGAGAAGCCCAAGGCCAAGCGGTGCTGACTCTTCGATTTCTTGCTTTGATTCAAAGTTCGTGTTAGGAATGTACGCCCCATCACACGGTTGGTAGCACAGACTTGTGAGCAAGGAATACGCATGTGCGTGTGTCAAGCTTGGTTGGGTTCTATCCTGGACCTAGAAGTGAAAACGTTTCGACGGCAACAAACATACAACGAGAGTAACAACATTATCCCTGACAGCAAGGATTTTCCGAACTCGTGTGCCAAAATTTGGAGTGCCACGAAGATTTCCCCCCCCCCGTTCTAGCGAAAAACACCAACAATCCCATACTTACAACTTTCGAATTAAGTTCACGTAGGACTCACGTACCACGGGTGTAATCCCCCCCCCCCCGCAACAACCGATTCTCTTGGTCAAAACAACTCAAGTATTTCGCGGTCTCGCGTCACCATCGCATCCAGCCGCGGCAAGGCGTAAACCTGAAAGCCAGTGGGGGAGGGGAGTGAAACAAAGGGCTTCCTAACAAATCCAGGGGCAAAGAAAGCAAGTTTAAACGCACCTTCAGCCGACCTCTCTGGCTGCTGCTGCGGGACCTTCTCCTCCTCGTCCTCGTCCTTGTCCTTGTTCACGTCCGACTTCTTCTTCCTCTCTCGAAGAAACTCTTGGAGTGTTCTCTCCATCTCGGCGACGACGTCTGCTGTCGGTTCCGTGGCCTCTCTCTCTTCGTCCTCGAGCACCTTCGACAGTTCAAACCGTTTCCTCCTGCCGGGGAAGGAGCGCATGGCCTGTGCCGGATCGGCGGCGGCCAGTACCTTGAGATCGGCGCGCGGGTCTCCACCGTCGTAGTCGGGGTTCAGGCCCGACAAGATGTTTTCCGTGCTGACTGTCCCCGAGGGTCGGTTCTCGACGGCTTGGACCATCTCGTCGCGGAAAAACCGGTACCGCTGCGGGCCTGTGTGAAGCAAGCTGCCATCGAACCCCATGGCCATCACGTGCTTCTCGTCCAGACTGGTCATCGTGGACGGGAAGCGTAGCTCCTCGCCCACCTGTCCGAATCGTCAGAAAGTCAGCAAACGCGGACAACAAACGTAGGCGCAAGATTGAGAACGCTACAACAGCAAGCACATCGCGTTGGCAAACGTGGTCATGTGCGCATACCGCGCGAAGGGGAGGGGAGGGGAGGGGGGGGGAGGAGGGATGAGCAATACATCGGGCACAAGAGATACTACAACCACGTGATGAACGGAAGAGACGTGTCCGCGAAAAGTAACTGGAGGAAACCGAACGGCCAAACATCAGAAAAGAACAGGCAGGCAGCCAGAAAACGAAGCGGAAGCAGCATCGAGCGTCATCCGTACCACTACAGCAGACCGGTGGCTAGACAAAAGACGGGTCTAACCAGGCAACCTGAGCCCAGCCAGAAGCTATCACATCTACCGTGCACTCGTTTCGAAACGAAAAAACGCAAGTTCTAGCGGGGTTTCAGGCTTGAGGGCATCTTCCGTGAAGGGAAGTTGTCATTCACCGTAATGTAGGACGGACTTAGTAGCTGTCGGTCTTGGAACGTGTGCTGAGCTGATGGAGAAAACAACGAAGAAAACTCCCCAACAGTGGAAGAGGGCGGTGTGGTTCCCGCGCGCTGCCTGCCCTGCTGCTGCTCGCCCTGCTGTTCCTGGTGCTGCTGTTCGTGGTGCTGCTGCTCGAGCTGCCGCCGTGCACGAAGCCGGCTGGGGACGTGCAGCCGCATCCAGGAGGGGTTCTCCGGGTAGGGTATCAAGACGGCCGACATGCCGGAGGCCGTGTAGCGGGCGTGGCAGTCGAAGAAGAACTCGCCTCCCGTCTGAACATGCACCAGGGAGTTGTTGTCTTCCTGTGATTGATATAACGAGAGAGAAGCGATACCGGGGGTCGTCGAGCGAATGGGGAAATAAGAAAGGTAATTTGTGGCGCAATGGAGCCGGCATTCCGTTCCTACCGCCTCATCTACAGAACGTATTGTGTGTCTGTGACAATGGTTGTTCGATTAAATACGTTTAGCGGAAGGAAGATCACGGCGTGCCGCCTCGAAGTTTGATATGGCGGACACAGTGCGACTCTCTCACCGGACGAAAAAAACAAAAAAACAACGTATGCATCACACCAGTTCCGCTCAGGTCGCTCCAAGCATTGCCAAGCGAGAACAAGCGTCACTTGGAACGTGCTGCTTCGAAGCATGTGGTAGAGGAAGCAATACTTGGAGATTTCGAGCAAGAAATGGGGAATCCTGTAGATTTCCACCGACCTTCAACATGGGTGAATCAACTCAGCGTTTCATGTCTCGGCACAACTAGAGGCAAAGAGACGGTGGTTCTAGCCAATCGTGATACCTACTCGGCGCATATTGAAGAGAGGGGAGGCGAAGGGTAGTTTTTCGTCCTTATTTGCCCTGTAACCACTTCTAGACGCTCAGAGTTAGTCGCGACGGCAAGCGAACAACGAACACCAGCAAACAAATGACCATCCACAACAGTCGCCATGGTAACATCACGACAGCACACATGACTATGCACCTCATATCCATCCTGGGGAGTTGGGCCCTGCCCGTGGGCGTGCAGTCCCACGTATCCCTGACGCTCCACGGTGAAAATCGCTCCGGAGACCCCCTGCAACACGGGAACACCAGCAGCAGCATCGCCTTGCTACGTTAAATTCAAACATGACTATTTGGGAGCACCAGAATTGCCACAACAACAACAACAACAACAACAACAACATGAACAAGAAAAAGCGAGGGTTTTACGGACAAAATAACGTGCAAGCATCTGGCCGCCAACGTGCCTTGGTGAGTATTTCAAAGACGAGAGGTAGTCTTCCATCACATACACCCAGCTAACTTGCGTGGTTGCCTGCAAAGTATGGCCTACCGAACCTCGATATTTTTTTAAGAGCTAACAAAGCCCCTCACCGGCCTGCCCACTATACCGCACTGCTTGTTTCGCCCCCGTTTGCACAAACGCACACATACATACCTCGAGCTTTTCCACGCGCATCGTGGAGACGCCGAACCTCAGCTTAGCGTTCTCCTTGACGTGGAAGCGAACACCCTCCAAGTGTAGGACGGGTGTCTGGGAGAGGATGATCAATTCCTCGGTGATCTCGAGCAGCTGCAAAAAATGTATTGGTTGTGGGGAGGTGGGACATCAGTGGGAGGGAAGGGAAGAGGGTGGAGGGTAGAGGGTAGCCGAAAGAAAGAACGACACAGCTGTGTGCGGGGGATGCCCTGATTGCTGTAGCTGTTGCTGTTGTTGCTGCTGCTGCCGCTTTGGTTCGTTTTGCCGTTGCATCTCATGGCAGGAGAATTTCTACCTAGGAAAACAAATAAGGACACCATAATAAAGAGGGACACACCCGAAACATTTGGCGGGCGGAGAGAGTGAGATCGAGAGAGAGAGAAAAATACATGACGTGGAATGAAGGATCCATTCTTCGATTTCCTTCACACCGTCGTAAAAAAAAAAACTCACCGTCTCCTCCCGGCACACGATGTCGCCCGTGATGAGCAGGACTCCATTCATTCGCGTTCGACCCGAGCGGAGTTTGTCGCAAGAGTCGATTGCTTGGCCCGGGAGTTTCTCAATCTCGTCGGAGGAAGGAAAACGGCGGCGCCTAGCCTTAGCTTTAGCTTTCGCTCGAGCGTTGGCTTTAGCTTTCGCGTTAGCTTTTGCGTTAGCTTTCGCGTTAGCTCTAGCGTTAGCTTTTGCGTTGGTGCTGGTGTCGTCGTCGGTGTTGGTGCCGCTGTCGGGGTCGGCGTAGGAGTTGGTTTTTGTGTCGTCGTCCCCAGTCGTGGAAGCAGGAGGATCGGTGGAGGGAATGGGGGCGGGGGTCGAGTCGTGTCGCTGCGGGTCCTGGTCGGGCATGGAGACGACGGTGATGCTGGAGGCCGTGTAGCCGACAGCGGCCTCGAAGCGCGTTTTTGCGCCCTCCTTGGCACGCACGAGAGAGTGCGTGTCCTCCTGTTGGTAGCAACAAGGGGAACACAGCGAGGGCCACACATGTGAAGGCAGGCAGGCAGGCAGACTGACGGACATACGAAATACAGACGTGAGGACTGATGAGGAGCGACACAGCGAGATGCTGAGACAGCGAGGTAGAATCTGGGAATGACCGAGAGCGGGAAGCACGACGAGAGGAGGGAGAGGGAAAGGGGGGGGGGGGTGATGGACTGCATCTCTTGGCTCAAGAGGTAAACACCATGTCAATCGCGAACGGTCACGGTGCATGGGATGTTAGCGGACCTTGTCTGCTGGCCGCCAAATGTTGAGGCGGTCCCCTTTGGGTCGAGGGAAAACCAATCTGTGGCCCAAGCGCGCGAACGGCGTGGAACAATATGCTCCACTTGATTTTTCTACCTGTTGCCTGTCTGTCAAAGTGGATGCGTGCGTTCAGATTATTTGCGGTGGAACAGTGAAATTTCCAAACACACACCAGAGACACGCAGAATGTGTGTGTGTGAGAGAGGAGGGAAGCAATTGTTACGAAGATCCGCAGATGAGGTATGCAAGTGGAGCGATAGAGAGGGGCCGAGAGAGCTACAGATGGCACCACAGCATGAGGTGTTAAACAAAACCCCAGTCCATATCTGCCATGGTATACTCACTCGAGGCTCCTGACACATGATGTCGCCTCTGACAGACACCCTGCCGTAAAACGGGTTGCGGTCGAACTCCAGCTGGTCGCACGAGACAAGGAGCAAGGATTGGGCGCCGTCGACGGCGAGAAGCCCCTGGTTCGTGGCTGCGGTGGTGGTGGTGTCGCCCCCTGTGGTAGCCAAGTAAGGCTGGTCGGAGGGCGTCGAGTTGTCTCGCTGCGGGTTCTGGTCGGGTGTGGAGACGACAGTGATGCTGACGGCCGTGTAGCGGACGGCGGCTTCGAAGTTCAATTTTGCGCCCTCCTTCGCACGCACCAGAGAGTGCGTGTCCACCTGTCGGCATGGCCAACACGGGAAACACGGGGGGGGGCAGACACAGGCACAGGTTTAGCCGGATGGCCGGACAGGCCGAAATCAAGCAGATGGAAAGACCGGAGAAGAGACAGGCAACGAGAGAACGAGGCTGTGAGGTTAGGTGCGGGAATGGCCGAGAGCAGAGAAAACAAGAGCAAGAGGGGTGTGTGTGCCCATACGTTCATAGTCGTGCATGCCGTAGTCTTACGACGATTGATCCCCAGCCGGGACGGAGCACGCCGGGTTCTCACCGGACCAGGTTCTCACATCACCAACCACGAAGCGCCCTGAGGTATTCGGCGAGGCGCATGAAGGGTGCGCTTCATCCTGCTAAGGGTGTTGGGCATCTTGTGCTTACTTCCTTGCGTACGGATGACAGCTGCTAATGACTAAATTTAAAGGCTTTTGTGGCTTTTTCGATTGAAACAATCCGATGTCAAAGGCAGCGACGTGGCCATAGCAAACAACAACAGCAGCAGCAGCAGCAGCAGCAGCAGCAGCAGCAGCAGCAGCAGCAGCAGCAGCAGCAGCAGCAGCAGCAACAACAACGACAGCAGCAGCAGCAGCAGCAGCAGCAAAAAAAATAGCAACAACATCATTCTCACGTCCGTGGAATCCTCGGGGAACGGAATACACTCGTCAGCATACAGCCCTAGGGCGCCTTGCGGCTCGACCGCGAAGATCCCGCCAGACTGCCCCTGCCAGGCGGAACCAAGAGCAACGACAGCATCGAAAATGTCATTATCATCACAAACACATCAATCACAAATAGCAGCAATACCGCAGCGATGGAATTATTCCCGAGAGGCCGTTGATTCCCGTCGCAAGGAGGTTCAAAGTGGTTCAATGTAGTTGGACTGCTGTTGACATCTTTCGACGTTTCGGTACACACCGGAGATGAACACGGCGAAACGCCTCCTTGCACGCCAGCAATTTGCTACAATCTTTGACTTTGAAGTATGTTGCCCTACGATCGCTCCACGGAACCAGTTTTGTATGCCTCCGCGCCGACCGCAAGAGTGCGAGTCTGTCGGGAATGGGATGATGGTGGTTGCGTCGAAATCCGAAATTTTCTCTCGAACGGATTACTTTGATGGTGGCCGTCTACATCTCCGAAGCTTTCTTGCGAAAAGGTTACCGTAGTTTGGAGTTGCAGCGTTTGGGAGGCCGAAATAAAGCTGTTCCCTTCGACTTCAGAGGGAAAAAATTCAAAAGCTATGTGGACTTGTTTCTACGATAACGACTAATGTCATCGACTCTCGGTTTGGCGATGGAGCGTCTGGCGGCTACTCCTTTTGCCCTTTCTTTTGGTAAAGCCGATCGATACCTTTGGCCCAGACAAAGTGCGGAAGGGGGCGGAATCACGCAAATCGCGCCACCTTCTCGTGCGTAACAAGCGACATACAATATTTAGGGCAACCGGCGGAACAGACAAAGGGGAAAGAGGTGTTGTCGTTTCTTTACCCCCCCTAAGACTTTTCCTCGAAGTCCTATGACCAAAGTTTTCAAACCAAGCCTCATCACCTGTGTGGGTAGGGAAAGGCAAGAAAATCGAGCATCTCGCCGGACGCTCCACCCACACGACGAAGAGATCCTCAACTTAGAGCCGGTGTATGCGCCATTTGCCTTCAACCTTGAGACGATCCAACACAACGTACAGCTCTTCCCCCTTGCTCACGTCCCCGGTATTGGTGTCTTCTGACTAATAATGTGTCTCCCACACACACACGCTGTTTGATACCGCATGGCTGAGAGAAAACTTGTAGCTCCCCTCCCTCACCGCTGTCCTCATCGACAAAAAAACAAAACAAAAAGAGACGCAAGAATGCGCAGGTTTTACCTCGAGCGTTTCCAGGTGCATCGTGGGTATGCCGAACGTCAACGACCCGGTCTCCCGCACGTAGAACGTGACCCCCTTGAACCAAAGAGTGGGAATCTTGGAAATGAAGTACGCCTTCTTGCTCACCTCAATCGTCTGCGTTGGGTTGTGAGTAGCGAGCAAACAGGAGGGAAGGAGGAGGGTGTACAGTGGCAAAAGCGGCATGGGATCGAGGGAGTGGCGAATGGTTGTGTAGATCTCGTACGTTGATGTTGTTGTTGTTGTTGTTGTTGTTGTTGTTGTTGTTGTTGTTGTTGTTGATTCGTTGTTGGTGGAGAGGGCGTTGGTAATGTAGTCTTGGCGTTTCAAGTACGGTTGACTTGCCGAACGTGTGTAAGAAAAAAAAAACCTGGGTGTAGACTGGCAGTTCAGTTCAATCCTAACGTATGGAGCGATCGAAAAGGATGTCCCCCATTCAGCGATGCTCGAATTCATTTGCGGTGGACATGGACATGACCTAGAGCACCTCGGTCAAATACACCTGTCGCTGCCAAAACCCCCAAGATAAGAAGAAAGTCTCAACTAGTTTATCATCGCCTGCGTTCAACACATGGGCAGTGGAAAAATGCCACTGCTACCAAACAAGAGCTATGGAAAGAGTGTGTGTGGGAGAGAGAGGAGGGGACATTTGACATCGCAGCACGAGTTAGTACGCAAACAAAACCAATTCGAACAGTAAAGGGGTCCTCACCCGAAGTGGGAGGGGGGGGGAGAGAGAGAGTGCGAAGCGAGACGACAACGAGGCACAAGCTTTTTTTTCAAAACAAATCAAGCTGTCGAGGGAAGAGAGTGCTGAACTCTTCTCGCATTAAAAACCGAAGGCAAAGTACCGCAGGAGGGGCGGGTAGAGAGGGGCTCTTCTGTGTGACCACGGGTTGGAGTAAACGGCACTACAGGTAGTGCTGTGAGCGCTGATTTGAAGCCAAGACAAAAAAAAAAAAACTGTCAAGGAGTACTGTACTCACTCGCGCCTCCTGGCAAATGACGTGGTCCGTGACTACAACGATGCCGTACACCGGGGTCCAGCCGGCTGTCAGGTCGTCACACGAGTTCAGGGTCGACGCCACGATGTTGTCAATGTCGTCGATCCGAGGCAGGCCCTGGTGTGTGCCGGCATCGGTGTTGTCCCCTGTGACAGAGGAGGAGGGCTGGTCGGGTGGGTTGTTGGAGCTGTTTATGGTGTTGATATTGTTGTTGTTGAGGGGCTGCTGTTGCTGGTGCTGCTGTAGCTGCTGCTTTCCCTTGAGGTTGAGGTTGGGGTTGGCGACACCGTCTTGCCCCATGGTAGATGAGGAAGATGGGGGGGGTGCGCTGGGTGGATTGTCTTCTTGGTGCTGCTGGTGTTGCTCAGACGATGGGTTGGTGTTGGTGTCGTCGTCGGGATTGATGCCACTGTCGGGCTCGGTGTGGGAGTTGGCACCGTTCTCGGCCGCATTCATGGCAGAACGTTGCTCGGTGGAAGGGCGGGGCTCTTGCTGCTGCGGCTGCTGTTGTTGCTGTTGCTGAAAGAGTCCACGAATAGAGAAAGGAAGGGGAGGGTATGGTCGTGTTACGTTGATTTTCGATCACCTCGTCCTTAGCCTCTGGTGTACCATACATTTTCATAACCATACGACAGCGTCATTTCTAGGCACAAACTCGTCAATCAATGTCTGTCTGTGCGGTGATGAAGGAAGGAGGGAGGCAAGAATGGACGTCTCCAACGAGGAGGGGTGAATCGCGCAACACAAACGGCAAGGACCAGCCAACATCTGTGTCCGCCAGCACAACCGTCTTAAGCTTCAACGGAAAGAGGAAAGACCATATGCAAACACGGTACTACCCGCGGGTGATGAAAGAGAGAGAAGGGGGGGGGTCAAGAGGAAGTCGTGATGATGCCGGGTCATCACCCTCCTCCTCTTGGTACACGTGCACCACCAAAATGCACAAGAAACCTCTCCCTCTCACCCGCTCCTCGTCAACAACACCAGCGTTGGCATCACCGGGGCCAGCAGCGTTGTGGTTGTCGTCCGTGGCCGTAGACGGGTGCTCCACGGTGGATCGGTGAGTGCCTCTGTTGCTCTCGTCCTTGTGGTTCTTCTCCTTCTTGTTGTCCTTCTTCTTCTCCTCCTCGTTCCTCATGGAGATCGTCATAGTCGAGGCCGTGAAGCTGGCCTTACCGTCGAGCTCGAACCTCCCCTCCTTCTTCAGGGCCATGAGAGAGTGCACGTCCTCCTGGGGCGACGATCGGGATGGAGAGAGAGGGGGGGGGGGGGGGGTGAGCTGGTTCTAAGCTTTCTGGCCTGCAAGCCCAGACACGACCTTGACAACATCCGGTGACACGCCGGCCAAACGAGGCTGAACACACAGCACAGAAGTAAGGGAGGTCTCTTCGCCCATGAACCTATGTACATGTACCTCATTGGTGTTGCCGAAAAACAAAAAACAATTTCCGAGACAACAAAACAAAACCTGATGTGTTGGTCGATGCCAGCGTACGAAGACGAGGAAGCACCAAACATCCTTACGGACTGAGCTTGACAACAGTAGCCTCGAAAAGAGCAAGACCCACAAAACCAAAGCACCACCAACAATGCCAAAAAAGGTCAATGCCATTGCCATGTAGAATAACACCACCGAAACAAAACATCCTAGGGCATACCATACCATACCATAAGCACTAACCTCCGTGCCGTTGTCGGGCGATGGGCTCCCCATGTCAGCACTTATTGCCAGGACACCTTGGGGCTCCACCGTGAAGAGCTCGCCGGATTCCCCCTGCGCGGCGGAAATAACAGGAAGGAAGGAAGGAAGGCTTCGGTCAAAGAAACGGCTTCTTTCGTTTCGGGACAAACGTACAAGCACCAATCTACCAACAACCACCACCACAACCTTGCAACAGCGAAGACACCGAAGAACAGCAATCGCAACCACAGCCACAGCTGTAGCATCGGCTATCACGACCACACGGGAAGACCATGCAGCACACTTCAAGTGACGTCGTGTGTCCTGCCAACGGATTTTCGTGTGTGCGGTATCCTCCTGTCCTCCCCCGACCCCTCCCTTTTCGTTGTTGTTGTATCAAAAATCCCATTTTATAGGTCGAACTTTCTCGGAGAGAAAAAGAGGAAGAGAATCGGGGCGGGCCTCCTCCTGCCCCGCCAACATGAATCCGGATGATCGGGAAAACACGGCCAGAACTCCACGCACCCGAAACCATCGCTCAATCATTGGAACGAGAAGGTTGGGGGGAGGGGGCGTCCCGCCCCACCTGAGTGTAGTGTTCAGACATGTTTTCAACCAATCATACATCCTAACGTCCTGCTTAGGTCCTGCTTGTGTTCGCACACAAAAAACATGCGGTACATACCCCGCAAAGCCCCCCCCACACCCCCCCATGCTCAGTTTCCAGCATCATCCATCATCCATCATCCATCATCCCCGCAAGCGCAAGATTGATTTACTCGCATAAGCGCGCACCTCGAGTTTCTCCAAGACCATCGTGGCCACGATGAATGTCAACGAGACCTTCTCATGGACGACGAAGTGCACGCCCTTGAGACGGAGATCGGGCTTGTCGGAAACAACGATCACGTCGTGGTCGACCTCGAGAATCTACGATTTTCATGGACGTCGGAAGGGAGAGGGTGCAAGGCAAGGAAACAGGGGACAGGAGACACAGATAGAGCAAGGAACGAAACCTGTTGCAAAAAAGGGTTGAAGATTGTTCTCGCCGATGACGGTGCTCTTGCTGCTTTTCTGGTGCCCCATCTGATGCTGACGACGAGAACGAAAGAGATAATGACGATGGTAAAATTGATATACTCAATGCCAACGTTGCCCTGTCTCTTGGACATGTGGGTGTTGACCGTCGCATCGCGTGCAGGAAAAAAAAAACTCGCTTGTGGGAGTAGGGTGGGGCAGTGCTCTACGACAGCAATCCGTTGCAATTGTAGTGAAAAGCCTCGGGCTAGTACTGGGCAATGTGGAACGTACTTCTACGTACGCAGCAGCGCTTCGTTCTTAACCACCAAAAAAAAAAAAAAAAAGAGGACACAGAGAGAGAGGCAAAGAGACATATCGAGAGGCAGCAACAGAGACAAGAAACGAGACCGGGTTAGCCCACCATTGTCATTGAGAATGACACTTCCACAGCGATGATAAAGCTAACAGCTCGCTCACCCGTTCCTCCCTGCATATGATGTCATCATCGAGGAGAAGCACGCCGGACACGCCTTGGACGGGCGTTCGCTCGAACCGGAGCTCGTCGCAGGACTCAAGGGTATACAGCGGGAGGACGTCATCGACAACGGCAAGTGTTGGGGCTGGGCGTGACATCTCGGTTGCGGTGGCAGTACCGGTGGTTTTCGGGGTACCGTTGGAGGAACCACCGGTGTTGGCATTGCCAGCGGTGCTGTGCTTGTCCCCTGGGGTAGGGGAGGGGCGGATGGCGGGAGAGGTGGGGGGGTTGTTGTTGTCGCCGTTCTCAAAGAGCTGCGGGATGGGGACTCTGTGCTGCTCCTCCGGCTCCTCGACGGTCTCATCGAGCTGGGGGATGGGGACTGTGTGCTGCCCCTCCGGCTGCTGGACATCGAACGCAAGGACGGCTCCCATGTCCAAGGCCGTATGGCGGATCTGGCCATCGGCGTCTAACGCTCCTTCCTCCTTCACGAGTTCCCTGGAGTGCTTGTCTTCCTTCTTGACGAAATGGGGAGACATGACGACATGGAGAGATAAAGGATTAGACAGACAGACAGACAAGAAGCAAGAGGGAGAGCAGAAACAAGGGGTTGGTAATGGTCGCCTAGTTTCTCCTACAGTCCAAGAGCTATTGAAACGAGCTTGCCGACCGCATCTGCGTTGAAACCGCGACAACTTCGTGAACTAGATATCACCGCGTAACAAGCAAGGTACGCCTAGAAAGAGACATCATTGAGACGGGGGTAGTGCTCGCCGATGAACCTGCTGCGATTGCTGTCGACACCTCCAAAAGCATCCCTTCTCCGGAGCGACGTCAGTGACGACGGTGGCAATTGCAAAACGCACACATGCACTGGACTCGCGTCAAGTTTTGGGGTTGTCTCTCTCGCAAAAGGTTTGTAGACAGATCAATCAACAGTATGGCATTCCGGAAGGCACCCATTCTCGAATTCCACTCGTTGACACCGACGAAACTTCCTTGGTCAATGGGTTGGCACGGTCGATGCTTAAACACACGCACACACAAACCAAAAAATACGCAAACAACAGCACCACCACCGACAAGAGCAGCAACAAACGTTGTTCCTCACCGCCATGCCGTCGTCGGGCAAGCGACCAGCTCCCCCTGGCGGTTCGACAGCAAGCACTTCCGCGGAGTCCCCCTGCCCGAGGAAAGATGGAACGCGACATCAAACGCAGCAGGAACAGGAACAGCAACAGCAACAGCAGCAACCAAAGCAAGCCTTCGGTGAAATAACTGCTTGCGTCATTCGCATACATCAGGCAGATCAACACCACCACGAGCATCAACAAACTTGTAACACCGCGATGACGACCGCGTGGCGACCTCACCCAACCCGGCAAGTTTTGACTTGACCCAAGGAGAAAAGGGTGTCAGACGAACGGTTTCCAAGGAGGCAAAGTGTGTTCCGGGCATTGTAGGACCATAGCAAGCACCTCAACAATTCAGACTGCGAAACCCCCATCCGACATCGTTCGGTTTAGCAAACATCGCAGGAACCACATACATCTATCAACACACGGCAAATAATCAACTCAAACACGAATTTAACGCCTCCTTTCTCTATCCATCGACTCTCCTTCACATCCTACATCCAACATCCGACACGCGCCGAAGGCGATCGAGGCTACAACGGAAGCGACGATATACGCCGACATCGACGACTTGCATCTGAAGGGCGTTGACTTCGACGTACGACAGGACGCCGGCTTGTGGATCGTCGTGGCCACAAGGGCCTCCATGGTCATGGTCGCCACGATGATCCACAACCCGCGTTCTGTCGTACGTCGAAGTGGATGCCCTTCAGGTACAAGTCGTCGATGTCGGTGTACACCCGCTGTTACCTCGATCTCGATGGGATTCGGTCGGGGTGAAAGGTGTGGGATGTGGGATGTGGGATGTGTAGTTCGTGGATAGAGAAGGGAGGGACTATGGTCGTGAATACGTTGATTTTTCGATCACTTTGTCCTTAGCCTCTGGTGTTCCATACCTCCTCATTAACGTACTACAGCGTCATCTTCTTGCAGTGACATTCGCGACGGACAAGACAACAGAGCCTGGCATGCCCGAACCAGACACACTCGCGTACCTTGGGCTCGGGGCACACAATGTCTGCCGTAACGGACACGACCCCTTCGAAAGGGGTCCGCTCGTTCGGGAGGTCGCCGCAAGAATCCAGGCACGTCACGAAGTCCATGCCGCTCGCTTCCAACTCCTGCTGCAGCTGCTCCTGAGCCAGGCCTGCAGGGTTTCCCTGAGAGCCACCGGCCGCCTCGCTGTTGATGTTGCTGTTGTCGTTCTTGTAGGTACTGGGCTCTACGACGACGAACACCGCGGAGTCGGTGTAGTACATGGCCTCATCACCATGAGCCCGTACCGTGTCACCCGGGGTAAGGCGGACCATCCCGTGCAGGTCCTCCTGTTGGTTGAGAAAGGTTCGTGTATCGCAACGACCAGCGGGAATCGATTGACGCAAACAGGGGAACAGCGAGGGGCCATTGATCAGGAAGGGGAAGGCACTGACCTGTTCCACCTGCAGTACTGCTGCAACCGTGTACTCAAGAGGCAACACACAAATTTGGTTAAATCAAGCAGGAACAAGAGCATGCAATGGTCGCACCGTAAAGGGGCTACAACGACCAGTTCCGGGTGCTAGATAAAGCCGCGTGTGATGGTGGACAATAAACTTGAAATTTGGCGAAGCATTTGTTTGGTGTTGTATGGATACGGTAGACGTAACGTCGAGTTCGTGTGCACGATTTTGCACAAGATTGGATTGAGACAGGGTGTCATGGTAGGCAACATCGGGGACTAGCATCAATGCGTCAATTGGAAGCGGGAGGGGAGAACTAGCTTTGAGCATTGGTGGAATTCACCCTACAACCGAAGCGAGGGGGAGCGGTGGCATGAAAAAATCAGCATAAACCAAATGTCAGGTAACCGCGACAAGAGGGGAATCATACCGGGTGCGTTACAACTTTCGGACAAAATAAGAGTGGAGAACCGCGTGAGCTTGGTCAATATGTCAGGATGTTTCATGGGTTAGGTACAATACAGCAGTAGACCGAACGTCATATCTTGCGGAGGAATCACGAGAAATATCTGTTGCGCTTTCGTTGAGTCTCAAATATTTTCCCGACTCCAATGCCTAGAACCACGCGGACGGACATCCCGTAGGACACGATGACGGCAGGCACCAAGAACATCACGAGACAACACAAACGGGAACTAAACCATCACTATTACCACCGCCACCACCACCACCAAATATCGCTGCAACCACTATAATACCAAGAACAGCCAACAAGAGACAGACACCCTTACCGGTGTGGCGTGGTCAGGGGCTTCGAAGCCGGGGTCTTCGACAAGGAACCCCAGAATCCCGTCCACGTGGAAGATGCCGTCCTTGTTGTCCTGAGTGCAGCAGTAACGCACCAACACCAACACCAACACCCATACCCCACAAGAGCAACGAAATCAGAGAATGAGCCGAATCGGAGAGAGGGGGGCGAGGGAAATTGCGTTGGGCAACGAAGGTTGTTTTGCCGTGCTGAAGAGGTAGTGGGTAGCTGCAAGGCGATTCTCCCTAGCTGGGAACGTTCGTTGAGAAAAAAAAAAAAAATCTATTGTCGCGCCCCCTCTTGTGCTGTTGCTGCTGTGGTACATATTTGGAAGTCCCATGCTTACGATGAGGCTGGGCCTCGACAGAGTGCAAACAAAACTGAAACCATATGGCTCATGGACAAATGGCTGCCGGCTGTACGTAGACTATGTCATGCATACCTCATTGCTTTCGAAGACGAACCCAGCCGCCGCGCCGAAGTCGACCCTGGTTCCCTTGGGGATTTCGAAGATGACGCCCTTGATCCACATGATGGTCTCTGCAACGATGTAGACGTCGCCGTAGCCCTGGGCCACCTCGATGATCTGTTGTTGGCAGCAGCACAATCATTGTTAAGCTTTTACCCGTGCAAGTGTCTAATGGGCTTCGCCGTAGCCCTGGGCCACCTCGATGATCTGTTGTTGGCAGTAGCACAATCATTGTTAGCTTTCACCCGTGCAAGTGTCTACTGGGCTTGGTTGTCAGGACTCTGAGTGAGACAGAGACAGATGGACGAGAGGGAGAAGGAGTGGCCGTAGCGTCTGCAGCAGCGGGCAATCAGGGCGGCGGGGCAATCCAGACCACGGAGCCCGGTGGATCATCAATCATTACCTCCCTGTGGTATTTTCATTCCAATCTGCGAGGCTGCAGAAGCTGCCGTTGGTCCGAATCCACAGTCCGTCCGCACAGATGCCATCTCGTTGCGTCGCGCAAAGGCGAGGGCGAGCAAAGAACGGAGTGCGTGGAACCGTCCTTTCCTGGAGGTGGCTTTGTTGTGGGGTCCGGCGCGCGCCGCAAGTGGGCTGAGCGCTACAGTTCGCCAAGAACCGAGTTTACGATCCAACACAACATCACGTGTAGTCTATACAACAACAGCAGCAGCACAGCAGCAGTTCCATGCAATCCGTAGATCAAGAAAAGCCGCAGCACCTTCTGATCTGCGGGTAACATCGCCTATGAGCAACAATTCTACGGGAGAATATTATCCGAATGCAAAAACTGGAAGAGCAGGAAGGCATGATGAACAAAAATGAAGCTGCCGTCATTTCACCACTGATCTGATGGCGACATGTGTCAAGCCCAGTGTTTCCCATCCCATGGTGTGGCAGCGCCAGACAAGATCATGTACGCCGAATTGCGCCTGCCTGTGTGTTTTGTCACAGTACAAGCAATTGCACCGTGCCCAAATAGATATATCAGAAATATAATCCAAGCAGGAAGAGAGACCGAAGGATGGGGCGATCGATCAACGTTCTTCTGTCATCTTGTTGGGGAAATTATGCATGGTGGAACCTGACGCGGATCGCATCGCGGGCCGTTGGCTTTGAGCCTGCCAAAGATCTCCGAGCGTACTTTCGGGGTTCATGACCCGGTTCGGTGCCAGAGGCTAAACGACGCCCGACACCTCGACAAGTTGCAACGAACTCAGCAAGCACGGCTGGAGATAGAGACATGCACACACGCAGAAGATGCAGGCATCGGAAAAAAGTTCATCCCACTTTTGCGGCAGCGACTCTCACACACACCTTGGTCTCAGCGCAGACAATGTCGCCCACAATGGCAACGGAGCCGCGTACGAGCGTCCTGTCCATCGCGAGATCGTCGCAGCTGTAGATGTACGTAGCGCCTTCCGCCGTTGGCTCCCCCCCGTCTTGGGCAGGGGTGTCAGCGGCGGCTGAGGTGATGAGCACCACTAGCACGACCAGCAGCCGAAGAAGGTTCTTCGCCACCGTGACGAGGCCTGGAGGGCGGCAGCCTCGCCGAGAAGAGGAGATGACAGTGGTCATCAATGTGCGGTGTTGTCGGTGTTCTGGTTGCTTCTATCAATCTTCTTGCTTTCCCTGGAGAGCAAAAGAGAGGAGTGAGAGAGAGAGACAAGGCAGTGTGTAGGGGTGGAGCAACAGGCAACAGCATCGGAGGAACGGGCTACAGGTAGGTGGGATCCACAACGTGGAATCAATTTTCATTCTTGCATAAAATAATTTGAACCCTGAGCAAATTCGCTGTGGTTCCCAGACCCAAAAATGCCCGTCGTGGGCACCGGTCGTGCGCCTCCGACAGAAGGGGTGTATGCGGCAGATACGCCTATGAGAGACGAGAAGGCCAAGTCCAGCAATAACTGTGGTAACCTTCGAAGGATTCAACACCGACGGGCGAAGTAGGCCGCCCCGCATTCACCCGTTCACCCGCTAAGATAAGTCTCGAGGGGCCGGACAATCTATGCGTCTGTTTCTGCGCGTTGCTTCACGTGCACTGACTTACGTCTTGCGGACCTCATTTTTCGTTAAAGCGGCTGTTTTTCCGTTCATTTTTTTCTTGAGTACATCAACGAATCGCTGCTACCCGTTCGAGTCGATATATTGACTACATGCACGTGTGAGGTGTGTTATGTTGAATCGACCGAGCCATCGGAATGTTTGACAATAACCAGAAGGTGGTCATCATATGTAATATATTTTGATATTGCTGCAATCGGCGGGATTAATTGTGAAGAAAACAACAACAACAACAACAAAATTAGCAAGCACATAATACATAGATTCAGGGTACTGTGGGCTTTCTTGTAGCAGCGTTGGTTGGTTGTCCCGTGTGTTCTATGCATAGTCTACCGTAGACGCCTTTCATACTCGTAGGTCCAGACTTGGTTGTATCTATCTAGACTACAGTATGCCTGACGCCCCAGCCGGGGTCCCACAGAAGGATTTATTTACCTTTCTTTCCCAGTTGCCCTTAGGGTTGGGTGAAAAAGGGGGTTCATTAACCAGTATCTCCCATCATCCTTTGATTTTTAGTTTATCTACAGTAATCATGACCAAATTCGGCGGTTCGTTTCTAAATCGGGAGGCTGTTGTCACTGCGGAGGGATTCGGAACCAACCTACGGCAATGTCGCCAGAGGCAAACGAGGTTTGTTTGCAATCGCGGCGCCACGCACCCACGAATGTGAGTTATGGAACGCCGGGGTTCGGTGTACATGCTCTATTCTACATGTCTACGGCACAATCCCTGAGTATTGTATCAAAGGTCAGCCCACCCATTGGGAGGGGTCAAACCTATGACAGGCGGGTGGTTCATCCAGCGCAATAAACCAATGAGGGGCTCGGCAGGTGAACAGCGATTGTGAGAGAGCATTGAGTGTAGCCAGGTACGGCGCGCAGACGGACGGCAATGAAAACTGTGGGTGTGGATCATCCATTTGGCATGACATAAAGTACCTACTGACAGGAGGGGTGGGGGCGTGCCCTGCTTTCATTGGTCAGCAATTGCTCAACGTCGTTTATCGGTGCAGATGGAGTGAGGGGGGAATGGCCCCGAGCACACTCGAACAGGTGGTTTCAGCAGCTCTAACATCTTGTCACATGAAGTGCAATGAATCAAGTGCACCGTCACTCACGTTCAGCACTCAGTGGTACACTCGCTGCGTTGGCACAGTGGATGCCCTCGGATGCCTCGCTCGAATGCTCGGGGTATTTGATGCAGATGTAGTCTACACAGCGTTCCACATTCATTGATTCGCCACCGCGTCATAGAGTGAATTCATGTTGCAATCAGTAATGAAAGCAATGTGACTATTTTTGGCTAAGTAGTACAACCGCACGGTCATTATTCGTTGTCGCGGATCGAACATCCAGTGATGAAGCGACGATGACTATCTCAATACACCAGAGTTGGATACGCGCTGTGGGCATAGGCTGCTACTGTTGGCTCTGTATCGTCGTGGAATGGAATTGTGCATGGCACCGCAATCGTGTGATTTCCTGCGAAACAGTGGCTGCCCATCGTTCAGTTCCCTGCAGGAAGTGAACACCTTGCTCCCCGTCTGGGCGTCGGATTCGATCCATTGTTGTTTTGTGGTTGTCTTCACAAAGATATCAGTAGCGTAAGATAGAATGCAACACGGACCATGCTTGAGCGCCTTCCGTTATGGCTATTTGGACTTGATTTCAAAGGGCGTGCTTGGAGGTAGACTGTACGATGCCAATGCTTACAGCAGCCTCTACTGCCGCCCTGTGCGAGAATCAAAATCAACGGCTTCTGCTTTTCCGGATGCCTCCGACTGGTGTTGCGTGTCTCGTGTGAATGTTCTGGTGCTCTTGCGTTTATCAAAATCAGTCAACATCATCATAGGTTGGCGTCAGCGGCCCCCGCCTCAGTGTTCATGTTGTCGCCGAAAAGCCGGAAGATCAGCTCCTGCTGTAGTCACGCAATTGCGAGCCACGCTGATATCAACGTGTGAAAATTATAATCAACATGAGTTGTGGAGAAATTACATGGTCTCACACGATATCAACATCACCAACCACAACAACAACACGGGGGTCTAACAAGCTTGCCCACACAACGAGAGGGAATGAACTCGGCAAGCCACGACGGGTGCACTAATTCTCGGACGTTTTCCTCATCCGGGTAAGGCTCGCTAAGGTGTCAAGACAAAACTCACCAAAATATGAGCGAGATCATCCTACAGTAGCGTACAGAAAAAAAAAAGTCGTCCGTGAATGGTGTACCCCAAACCTAGTTTTGGGGCAAAAACGAGAATCTCAAGCGTTTGGGGTTGCCAATACTCACAGCAACAGCAAGCGAAACGGTATGGAACTTAGATACTTGATACGAAAGAAAAGGTGCGGAAGAACACCGAGTTCTGCTTAGAACAGCGAACAAATACGAGTGAGTGCACAAGGAATGCAAAGAGCTCGCAGGAGGGGGCAAAAGAAGCGCCTGATGACCACGGCAGGGGACGAAAGTACACAGCAGCAGTTTTGTGCCCTCGTCTACAGCAGACGCCAAGACAAAAAAAGGTGGCCAGTGCCGCCAATGCCGATCTCGGTGGCGAAATCTTGACAACACGGGCTATGTAGACACCAACGACAGAAATAGCTCCAACAAGAGGCGGCAAAGACAACCATCCGAATGTACAACAAACCGTCCTGATCTGATCCCGCGAGCCGTGCTCCATGCACGCCACCACCGCAACGTATGCTTTCACCCACCCTGAGGCTCTCCGCGAACCTATACGTTATCGAGAATCTACGGGGCCCCCTTCACTCACTCGGAGTGCCGCGGCAAAACTATATTCCAGCGTACAGTACACGCACAGCCCGTCAAGGTTACAAATAATTGTCTCAGATATTTATTCTCGATAGTATCGATTCTCGTTTGAATATACATATATATATATGCAGTGCTCTGGTTGCGCTAGAGCCGGAACCAACCCAATGATTTCGGCAACCAATCCGGAAAATTAAAGAGAGACAAAAAACAGCGTACTGAGGGCACTCACAGCCCCCCCGATACAACCGGACCGAATCAGTCCATCCATCCTGAGTCATGCCGGCTGTAGATCGCCACCATGCGCACGTTCGTGTGCATCCCGGACTCGAAGGGCAAGTCTTCCCAAAAGTCTTCGAGCAGAAGCTCGACGATATGCTTTGTCTTGGTCTCGGGACAGGCTCCGTGAAGAGGAACAGCACCAAAGCCGCAAACGTTTATCTTGGCGGGGGTGGTTGCGTTGTGATCAATCAGGGCCATGCAAGCCACATCCGATTCGAACGGTTGAATGGACGTAGCTACTTGAGTGATACATCCCACCAATCTTCAAATTCTCTCCTCAAGTACCAAGCCGCATAACGGTAAACGTCAGGTAACTGACCAAACAGGTAGAAGAGGGAGTTGGGGAGTTCAGGAATAAAAACGGTAAGGGGGGGGGGGGGGGGGGGGGGGGGGTGTACTCATAGTCGTGCATGCCGTAGTCGTTTGACCATTGACCTCGCATCCCTACAAAGCCGGGACGGAGCACGCCGGGTTCTCACCGGACCAGGCTCTCACATCACCAAGCGCGAAGCGCCGTGAGGTATTTGGCGAGTCGCATGAAGGGTGAGCTGCATCCTGCTAAGGGTGTTCGGCATCTTGTGCTTACTTCCTTGCGTACGGGTGACAGCTACGTATGACTTAATTTATTTTCTGGTGCTTTCACTTCCAGAGACAGTTGTAAGCACTGTGTAACTGCCTCGAGGAAGCTTGACCATGTTAACACAACGTGGTGCGATCATCCCCCGTTGCGCGGAGTGAGGGTTCTCGACCCCGCACAACATGATCTACTCGACCACCATTATGGTTACCGCCAAAAAAAAAACCGAGGGGGGGGGATTAAACGATGGGGCAATACTGTACAAGTGCGCCGAAACGCGAAAAAAAAATTATACCGACAACAGGAGTTGTCTCGAACACCGCGGCCATGATGCTGCAGAATTTTGTTATCGTTCTTCCTGCATGCAGAAAAATGCTGCTGCTCCGTTTCAGTTATTAATGACAGGGTCGGGCCGCTTTACACAAAAGCTGTTGGTGTTATAGGACGTTTTGTCCGGGCTCAATGATCCGGTGCTCAAGTTCTTATGCTTTGATAAGATGCTGACGTATGAAGTGTTCTTGTGCAGGCAATACCATGCAGCCGTCACTACAGATCTGAGTACTTTGGTTTGAAAGGACGGACGACGCCAAGAGAGAGTCGTTCCAGAATTGAGTCCAGCTGTGACTTGAAAGACAACAGACGTGGGAACAGCATGTAGAGGGTATGCTGGATGCATGGTGGAAGCGTCCGAAGTAACCACGGTGACCTACCATTCACAAGTTCCACAACCACCGACCAGGAGTTATGATATGAAACGACAGTAGTCTACACCTGATAGTGGAGCCCCCGATTCCTCGCGCGGGACTCCGCTGGCTTCGGTTTGGCATGCCATGGGCAGAATGACTGATGTAGTACGGGGATGGTAGCGCGAAGTGGGTTATGTTCGTTGGATAGCTTCTTCGACGGTGTGTGCCGAACGTGCGGCAACCAACAGACACATGGCACATGCCACGCGACGTGCGGCACGGCAGGCAAAAGTTCATATCTGTTTGTTTAGCTTTTACCAATACCTTTGAATTTCTTCCGAACGTTTGATTCTCTCACCTCGTTTCTCTCTACCTCTCACGTGTTGACGAATGAAAAGGAGGGTGCACTCACAGCAGTCCATATAGTCAACCTGGTGGCTCCTCCCTCGCCACTACCTTCCTTCCTCATCGCCGTGCACACTTACCACTCTGCTCCATTCTGTCTCGCCGATACCAGACGGGAAGAGGGGGATACGCGGACAGCCATCCGAGGTAGGGACCCCTTTTCAGATTACTGCTCGAGTGGTGTGGCGCGTGCGGCCGAGTTTTGGAGCGGACTCAAGGAGCGAAGTCAAGCTCGTTTCCAATTGGTACAGCACTACGTAGATATCGTGGTTACAGTCATTTCCTCAATGTTATCGTGTTTCCTTTTACGAAGTTTGTCCTTTACATGCCTCTTCACCATAATCACCGTGAAGCTGTGCGTGAACTTTAGTCCTTCGTTCATTCTTCTGGCATTCATACCATGCAGCCGGAATCGCCAGACCCAAGTGCAACACGTACAAATGCAAAGTGAACAGAAGGGCACACGGCTCGGGGGGTTTTGAGGCTGACTTTTCTCCTATACAAAGAAAGAACAACCTTCCCGCCAGGGTTCGGTTGGGCATTCTATTGTCATCACTGAGGACACCATGAGGCGTCGTGCGTGCTGGCACGTTCAGGCACTCGCTAGCTACTGCTTACACCCCCGTGGCGGTGAGCATGGCTGTGACAAATGTTGGATGCCGCTTGGTTCCGGCACAGATTTCGGACTGTTTTCAAAGGCCGCTGCGACCTCGATATTTCAGCTCCAGTGGCAAACCTGAACGCGCCAGCATGCACGACGCCTCTTCATGTTGTCCTCTACTGCTGACAGTAGAATGCCTAACTTAACCCTCAAAACTGACCATGCTTGAACGCCTTCCGTTTTGCTCTATTGACTTCATAAAAAAATTGGTGAAGTTTTAGTCTTGATTTGAATGGAGGCCTGTGGAGGTAGACGCGTGAAATATATGTTTTTGAGCAGCCTCTACGGCCGCCCTGTCCGAGAATCAACGATGTCTGTTTTTCGCGATGCCTCCCGACTGTCTGTTGTACACTTTATGGACCTCTTGCGCTTGTTTTTCAAAATTCGTCAACATCAAAATTACTTTCCGCCCCTTAACTCCTGAATTGTGCATGACGTCATAACACAACATCTAAACGCAATATTGCCAAATGTTATGGCAGCGCACCACCACAGTATGCAATAAAGGGTTTTCCCAATTCATCGGCAGGCGGACAGCTGAAAAGTCGCGTGAGCACCAGCGCGAGTGCAGGCCGTTCACTTTTCAGATGTGAACCGTTCAGCGTCGTTTTATGAGGATACATGTACATTTGACCCGGATAGAGACGCCGAACCAGCCTCTCGACAGTCCACCGGTCAATACGAAATGGACGAACGAATATTGTACAGCTCGATGTGTTTCACTTTCTTTCGATAGTAACGGCGGAAATGCCATACAAAAGGGAGAGCGTTGACGTGCCTACCAATAGGATTCTGAAGCAGTGTAGCCTCTATCGTAGATGGGAGGAGGGATTACGAGTGAAAGCAGGTCGACAGCTGAAAAGAAAAAGAGTTGAAAGATTCCCGAAACAATTTCACAGCTAAGCAACTATGACACGAGGTATACTCCGCCAAATATTTGTCGCCAGCGAGAAGAATTTCGTCATGTCCTGGCACATTTCAGCGGGCTAGACAAGTCTGCTTTACTGCAACGGGCCCACCGTGAGTGAAAATATTGTCGAAACTGTGAATCCAAACAACAGGAAACAGGGGGACACGCCCGGTCCTCACCGGCTACGGTACTACCTGCGAAGCATATCTTCTTTGTCCAGATGGAGTGAGAATCCTGGTTTTGTGGAGATCGCGTTCGTGTGCGCGTGCCCGCCGTCGGAGGTGACGTCGATGACATCGGCGTCGGCATTACCGGGGGCAGCAGCTTTGAGATTTTCGTCCGTGCCCGTAGAGGGGTGCTGCACGGTGGATTGGCAAGCGCCTCTGTCGTTCTCGTTCTTGTGGTTCTTGTTCTTGTTGTTCTTCTTCTCCTCCTCGCTCTTGTTCCTCATGGAGATCGTCATGGTCGAGCCCGTGAAGCTGGCCTTACCGTCGAGCTCGAACCTCCCCCCCTTCTTCAGGGCCACGAGAGAGTGCACGTCCTCCTGGGGCAGCGATCGGGATGGAGAGAGGGGGGGCGGTGGGGGATGAGCTGGTTCTACGTAGGCATTTTTGGTCTGCAAGCCCAGTGACGACCTTCTTGGGATGTGGACTGATAACATCCAGTGAAACGGCGGCCAAACGAGGCTGAAGACAAGGTAGTAGGGGTGGCCTCTTCGCCCATGAGCCCATGTACATGTACCTCATTGGTGTTGCCGAAAACAAAAAACCTCATGACGAGACAACAAAACAAATATGATGTGTTGGCCGATGCCAGCGTATGAAGACGAAGAAGCACCACACGTTGCTAGGCACTGAGCTCGAAAGCAATTACCCCCAAAAGAGCAAGACCCACAAAACCAAAGCACCATCAGCAACATCAAAAAAGCCATTTCCATTGCCATGTATGATATGATAGCACCACCGAAACGAAACGTCTTACTCTAGGGGCATACCATATCATACCACACCATACCGTACCATACCATGCCATACCATAAAGCACTAACCTCCGTGCCGTTGTCGGGCGATGGGCTCCACTTGTCAGCACTCATTGCCAGGACACCTTGTGGCTCAACCGTGAAGAGCTCGCCGGATTCCCCCTGGGCGGCGGAAATCATAGGAAGGAAGGAAGGCTTCGGTCAAAGAAACGGCTTCCTTCGGGATAAACGCACGCTAAGCTACCAGCGACAACAACAGGAAACAGTTCAGACACCAAACAACAGCAATCGCAACCACAGCCACAGCGATAGCATCGGCTATCACGACCACACGGGATGACGATGAAGCTCAGTTCAAGTGACGTCGTGTGTCCTGCCAACGGATATCGTGTGCGTGGCCTCCTCCCATCCTCCCAAGACCGCTCTCTCTTCGTCGTGGTTGTGTTTCTATCTATCGGTCGAGGGTCATCTCAAGAATCTCATTTTTTTGGTTGGGTTTTCTCGGAAAGAGAAAAAGAGGAAGAGAACAGGCTGGGCCTCCTCCTGCCCCACCTACATGAGTCCGGATGATCGGGTAAAAACGGCCAGAGAAGAGTGGGGAGGGGGCGACCCTCCCCACCTGGGTGTAGTGTTGAGACACGTTACCAACTAATCATACATCCTAACGTCCCGCTGATGTTCACACACAAAAGACATGCGGTACATACCCCGCAAAGCCCCCCGACACCCCCCCATGCTCAGTTTCCAGCATCATCCATTATCCACCACCCATCATCCATCATCCCCGCAACCGTAAGATTGATTTACTGGCATTAGTGGGCACCTCGAGTTTCTCCAAGACCATCGTGGCCACGATAAAGGTCAACGAGGCCTTCTCCTGAACGACGAAGTGCACGCCCTTCAACCGGAGATCGGGCTTGTCGGAAACAACGATCACGTGGTGGCCGACCTCGAGGATCTGTGATTTTCATGGACGTCGGAAGGGAGAGGGTGCAAGGCGAGGAAACAGGGGACCGGGGACACAGATTGAGCGAGGAACGAAAGCCGTTACAAGAAGTGGTTGGAGTTCTTCCTCGTCGTGAACGGTGCTCTTGCCGCTTTTCTGGTGCACCATCTGATGCTGGAGACGAGAACGAATAAGGATAATGACGAAGGTAGGAATTGATACGCTCATGTCAACGCTAACGTTGCCCTGTCTCTTTGATGTAAGGGTATCGACGGATCGTTCTCATCCCGTGCAGGAAAAAAAAAAACTTGTCCGAGTGGGGGGAGAGTAGTGCTCTACGACAGCCACCAGTAATTGTAGTGACAAGCCTCGGGTTTGTACTGGGCAACATGGAACGAACTTCTACGTACGCTCCAGCGCTATGCTTCGCAACCACCAAATCCCCGAACGAGATACAGAGAGAAAGGCAAAGAGACATTGTCCAGAGGCGGCAACAGAGACAAGAGGCAAGCCCGTACTAGCCCATGATGTGTCAGAGTGACACTTCGACAGCGATGATCAAAACCAACAGCTCGCTCACCCGTTTCTCCTTGCACATGACATCATCGTCGAGGAGAAGCACGCCAGACATGCCTTCGACGGGCGTTCGCTCGAACCGGAGCTCGTTGCAGGACTCGAGGGTATACAGCGGGAGGACGTCATCGACGACGGCAAGCGTGGGGATAGGGCGTGAGCTTTCGGTGGCGGTGGCAGTGCTGGTCCCGGTGGTGGTGGTTGTGGTGGAGCCGGCATCGGTGTTGGCGTTGAGAACGGAGTTGCCGGCGGCGGTGGTGTGCGTTTCCGCCGCCCAAGATGAGGACAGCGTTGTGGCGTAGATGTGACTGTTGGTGTAATCGTAGTCGTCGTCGTCGTCGTCGTCGTTGTTGTTGTTGTTGTTGTCGTAGGTGTCGGTGTCGGTGTCGGTGTCGGTGGGTGCAGCATAGACAATGGCCCAGGTCTCGCTGCAGCGTTTCATCGAAACGCCGTAGGTGATGATATTTCCATCGGGGGAACCGCGGATGGTATCGTGTGGGTCGTCCTAGGGTGGTGGGAGTAAACGTTGCAACATGGCCAACAGCGCGTAGGCACGACGGCAGAAGGGGTGGGAAGGGGAGGTCTTGGGGCGATTGCAACCAGAGAACAAGGTTCAGTGTGTCTGTGTAAGGATAGGTTAGGGAACGTGCGATGGCGGGAGCTGAACTGCACAGAACACAACTACCGTAAACTACGGAGTTTCCCCCCCCTAGTACAGATTCCCCCCCCCCTTCATTACCTTTTCGGCCTGGAAGCAGGGTTTTGTTGATTAGCCCCGGGGTAGATCGTTTTCGACAAAAAAAAGAAAGATCCCCCGAGTATTTCAATTTCCTCCCGGGCTACCAGTTTCCCACGAGTTCCCCCCGGGAGGGATGTATTTCCCTTATTTTCTGAGTCGATGTTGTCGCATCGCAGAGCACGAAAAGCATAATACGGGACGGAAAATTCATTCGCAGATCTGCGCTTCGAGCGAGATTTAGGTGTACCGTTTGTCACTTGGCCCTCGCAGTTGTTTTATGGGTGAAATGCTCTCGTTTTCCTGTCTATTTCTTGCATTTATCACCCCTGGAATATCAGCTGAAACGTACCACAGCATGCTCTGACGAACCTTGCGCACAAAGGGAACAAATAATCGTGTTCATTTTTGGATCTCACAACTCAAGCTAGAACTGAACCATAAAAAAAGCTTATTCCTGCGGACAAACTGCGAATTCTTGTGCATGAGCTTAGGCAATGGTACCTCTTTTGCGACCCGACAACATCCTTATCCATCTCAGTTTCGCCACTCTCTCTGTGTGTGTGGTGTGTGGACCATCACTATTTTGCACAACCCCCCGGGGGGGGGGCTTCCCCCTGCGGTAGCGTTGGAAAAAGAAAAAGACCCCCCCCCCGGTACGTCAATTACCCCCCGGGGGGGTTGGTTTCAGAATAAAAAACGATCCCCTCCCCGGGGGGAAAACTCCGTAGTTGACGGTATTACACGCGTGAGGGGCGAAGGCCAGGGTACCAAGGTGTATGTATGTATGTATGTGTGAAGCTGCTTGGGCTGGTGTTGGGGCGGTGGGAATGTAAACCCTTAAGTCGCAACGGAGTTGGTGCTTGAGCGTTGTCAGGTTCAAATAGGTGCAGGGTACCGCAGCTCCTGGCAAATCAGGTTCGTTCCTGGTTGAAAATAACTAAACATGCAGCACTGCTGGCACACGTTAGGTCGGTCTCATAACATCGTGGAGGCAGGTGTTCAGATAGAGACTAGCGACGTCTGTCCTCACCGCGAGACAGGTAGCAATGGGGCCGTTCACAAAGCACCACCGACAACAACAACAACAACAACAACAACAACAACAACAACAACAAGAGCTCACCAAGTCCAGGCCGCTCGCTTCCAACTCCCGCTGCAGCTGCTCCTGAGCCAGGCCTGCAGAGTGTCCCTGAGAGCCACCGGCCGCCTCGCTGTTGCTGTTGCTGTTGTCGTTCTTGTCGGTACTGGGCTCTACGACTACGAACACCGCGGAGTCGGTGTAGTACATGGCCTCATCACCGTGAGCCAGTACTATGCCATCGCGGGCAAGGCGGGCCATCCCGTGCAGGTCCTCCTGCTCATTGAGAAAGGTTCGTGTATCGCAACGATGAGCGGAAACCGTTTGACGCAAACAGGGGAACAGCGAGGGGGCATAGGTCAGGAAGGGAAGGCACTGACCTGTTCCACCTGCAGTACTGCTGCAACCGTGTGCTCAAGAAGCAACACACAAATTTGGTTACTTCCAGCAGGACCGAGAGCATGCGATGGTCGCACCCAAAAGGGGCTACAACTACGAGCTCCGGACGCTAAAAATAGCCACGTGTGATGGCGGACCAAAAAAAATCAGGGTACCCGTCGGTTCCGGTTTTTAGGCGGATACTGTACAGGCGCGGCGGTATTTCGATGTGGCGATATTGTTTTCGGCGGATCCCAGTACTTTGCTTTCCGGCGGTACCGCCTTTGGCGGTTCCCGGTACTGCCAAACATGGCGGTATTTTTCTGGCGGCACTGGAATATGGCGGTACTGCCTTCGGCGGTCCCGGTACCAACAAAATATGGCGATTTTCACCTGGTGGTATTGAAATATGGCGGTATCGCCTTGGGCGCTCACGGGAAGACCAAAATATCAACATATTATATGGCGATGATAATCTACATTCGGTGCCCTCGGGCGCCTCATCAACCATCAACCGGCGACCTACTTTTCTCTCATTGCAGCGAATGTATTTTGTCATGTACTGGTGAGAGCGTATAGTTCCCCTATGGTTTCGTGATTTCACGATGCTATGCACACCCATCGCCAAATTGAGCAGCCTCCTGGACAAGCGAAAGGCAACGAAAAGAAGACAGAAAATGCAAACAAAGAGGTGTGCTGAAATGCGATACGTCGAATGCCACGAAAACAGCATAGGTTGTTGTAGAACGGCAGCAGATTGAAGGAAACACATGGCCATTCGTGATAGCGTTTTAAACGCTATGATCAATCGATCAGCTACTCCTCTCGCCCTGCATAGCCCAGACTTCAGTGCACTTGGGCACCCTCGTCTACAAGCCAAGGTCAATCGACTTGTTCGTCCTCTCCTCCTGAACGGCCGCTGATTTCTGTGCACTCTGGGTTGCCTTCTGCTGGACGTTGGGGCAAGTGTGTGTGTGTGGGCAGGAGGCACCCATCACGGCGAAAGGTAAACGAGGTTCTACCGAAAAAAAGCAACAAACAAAAAAGAAGAGAAAAAATACACAACACTTCGAAATTCACGCTATCTAGAAAGAAAGAGAAAGAGACAAAAAAGGGTAACCAGCTGGACTCGAACCCACGTTCCTCGCAGACAACGTGCACTAGACAAATTCCCAGTTGCGACCTCGCAGAAATTGGGCGACATCTTGGTACTTATACCGCGGTACTGTATGGCGGTACTATTTTGGCGGTACTGCAGTACGGCGGTACCTTTACGGCGGCACTGCTGTAGTATGGCGGTACTATTTTGGCGGTTCTGCAGTACGGCGCTACAATTTCGTTGGTACTGCAACATGGCGGTTCTTTTTTAGGCGGTTCCCGTTTTTTTTGGGTAGTACTTTTTAGGCGGTCACGAAATATATATGGCGGTACGTTTTGGGCGGAAGGCCGCATTTAGTTGTTCGGCGGTACCGCCTTCGGCGGTTCCCGGTACCACCGCCGAAATGTGGCGGTAATTACCGCCAGTCGGGACCGCCCACCACGGTGGGAAAAATTGAAATTTGACGCATCATTTGTTTGGTGTTGTATGCATACGATTGACGCAACGTCGAGTTCGAGTGCACGTTTTTGCGCAAGATTGGATTGAGACAGGGTGTCATGGGAACCAAGACCGGGGATTAGCATCAATGTTTCAATTGGATGCGGGGGGGAGAGCAAGCTTTGGGCATTATTGGTGGAAATCACCGTACAACGCAGCGAGGGCAGCGGCATGAAAAAAATGCAGCAAAAAACACGCCAGGAAAACCGCGACAAGAGGGGCAGAAAAACCGGGTGCAATGCAACTTTCGGGCAAAAATAAGAATGGGGGAACCGAGTAAAGTTTTCGTCAGGATTTCAGGAGGTTTCATGGGTTCAATACAGCAATAGAGCGAGAACGTCACATCTTGCGGGGGAATCACAAACACTGCATATGTTGCGTTTTCGCTGATGATGAGTCTCAAAGAATAGACAATAGAGTTTCAAATATTTTCTCGACTCCAATGCCTAGAACCACGCGGACGGACATACATCCCGTAGGCCACGATGACGGCAGGCACCAAGAACAACACCAAGAACAACACGAGCGGGACAGACATTAAACCATCACACAATACCATCGCCACCACCAAAATCGCTGCAACCACGATAATACCAAGAACAGCCGACAAGAGACAGACAGCCTACCGGTGTGGCGTCGTCAGGGGCTTCGAAGTCGGGGTATTCGGCAAGGAACCCCAGGATCCCGTCCACGTGGAAGATGCCGTCCTTGTTGTCCTGAGTGCAGCAGTAACGCACCAACACCAACACCCATGTACCCCACAAGAACAATGAAGTTACAAAGAATAAGCCGACACGGAGAGAGGGGGGCGAGGGAAATTGCGTTGGGCAACGAAGGCTGTTTTGCCGTGTTCTGAAGGGAGGGGTAGTGGGTAGCTGCAAGTCAGGCCAACAACTCAGTGCGTGCGGTAATCCGCATGACATGTTTTTCGTGGCTGCGAAATGTTTTCGTTGAGAAAAAAAAATCTCCACTTGTCGCCCCCGTATATACTCCACTCTCTACCACATCCCGTTCGACTGTGGGTATATCTCGAATGGGTAGTCTTTCTGTGCGTGGATTTACTTTTCTTTTACAGGTCCTTTTTAGTGCCGGTCGAATACTGCCAGGGGCCCGATTTAGTGCCGGTAAAATTTCTGGACACAGGGGCAACCCGATATAGTGCCAGACGGCACAAAAAAGGGCGGGCCCGATATAGTGCCGGATGGGCGCCGTTGTACCCCCCCCAAATACTGCCGGTTCAAGCGCGCTTTCACGCACACACACACTTTCCGTCATTCATCCGGAGAATAGGTTAGCCTCCCCCATGCAGCCCCCTCACGTTAATGGCATTTGGAGGTGTTTCGTGTTTTCAACCGCACTGAGACTGGCGTTATTTCATCGGGCGGCCGGTAGCCGCGGATTGATGCCACAACAATAAAAAAAAAAACACACACACAAGCTAGAGACAACATACAGGCAGAAGACAGACTCCATACAGAGAAACTAGGGCACACGCGCTGCTGCAGACCCGAACAACTGTACGCAGAGGCGCACCATGCCATGTCCGGAAGGTGTACTGCTGTGCTTTAGCGGACATGACGCCGCAAGCCCCTCATGGCCACGAGCGTAACTTAGGATGTGCGACGTAGCTACAGTGAGGGCGGGGGTACAGCTATAGCTGTAGTACATGTAGTATTAATGGTCGTTTGTTTGTGTTCTTGCAGTGCGCTTCTGTCGTGTTCTCTTTTTGTTTTCATTTCTTTCTTGCAACATCGAAGGAGGACAAATAGGAGTGAGATTGAGCTTCGTCCTGAATACTGTATCTTGATTTTTACGTTGTACGAACGGAAGATTTTTTGCCGTCAAAGGCTAATCGGGTGCGTGCGTGCATGATGTGTGTCTGTCTGCCTTTCGCCGTCCACTATTTGGTGCTGTTGAGGTTGCCTGAAATGGTGTGATCCATGTGAGGCCAATGCCACTGCTTTCTTACCCTCAAAACAGCAGGCAGCTGTTTGGCAAAGTACACCTCTTTGGAAGATGGGCAGAGCGGTACAGAACATACATACATGTGGTACATGCGCATTAAGGATTCGCGCGACATTTCAGGCTGTGCAGGACGTGTGCTGAGGTGGGCAGAAAGAAACGGTGCAGCATGCCAGTATACTTATTCAATCAAACTCTGTGTGTGTGTTCGACACGGTGGAACCACACGTACGTGTCGCGAGGTGCCCCCGCTGTGTACCACTTCACAAATATATATATTTCGATCCATTTTGTACTCTGTTACCCGCAAAGCGTGACCACGAAAGAAACCAAACACACCTTCAATAGTGCCGGACCGGCACTAACAACGAGGGCTGTTCGAAACCTGAATACAGTGAGCGCCGGTTTGGCACTGTATGTAGCGGTCCTGAACTTGCAGTCTGGTTTTCGATTTGAGTATGCCCCGTAACTCTTCACGGGTGATTAGGATGACGAGGATGATGGCGGGGAGGAAGTTGGTATGTCACTTTTTGACAATATTCAACATTCACTTACAGAGCTCGTATCTAAGATGTGCGAAGACGTTGGAACCCAATTTCACTGGTCGAGGAATGGGTTTCTGTAGTTTTGGATGAAGTTGCTGAACAATTGAATTCTGCTATAGAAGGCCCAGATTACCTGCCGCATACCGGCCATATCGATTTCATGGACGCTCATAAAGCATTCAAGGTGCTTCAGAAAAAAGTAGTTTTCACTAGATAGATTAGATAAAGCTGCAAATTGTATTTATTTGTGTAATGTGTAAGGCTTGTTATATTAGACTAATAATAGCTGAAACGGAAGTGAATGGGGAGAGCTATGAAAAGATTACTGGAGGCATATTTGAAGAAATGAAAGAAGCCATCACCGCACGGCAAATTAAGTTTCTGGACGATGAACATCTACCGGCCCCCAAGGAATTTTTTCGAAACCCGGACACGAATAGACGCAAGTCTAGGAAAACCCATAAACAACCTACGAGGTATCTGCTGCCTAAACTCCATAAGGATAAGGTAGCTTGTCGAAGTATAACCACATGCTGTGCTACTACTACGGAAGGGGCGGAAAGAATAGTGCATACGTGTCTAGCTGAATTGTTGCCAGTCTGTGATGCATTGTGGAGAGAAGTTGGTAGCTCCATTGGAATTGATTCCCCCAGTAGTTGGATTACTAAAGGTGGAGACGAAATCCTGGAGATTTTATCTGACGCAGACCAGATGGCACGTTCGATTGGTGCTTCTGCCCCACATGTTGTGGAAACATATGACTTTGTTGCCATGTATACTAGCATACCTCTGTCTACTCTCTTGGCTCAATTGAATGAATTCATAGATTTGGTGTTTGACTTCCAATTTCTTCGTGATTCTGGATATTGTTCAAAAAATAATGTACAATATGGCTTTAAGAATAGTTGTCCTTTCATTATCAAAGAAGAAGTACATTCGTCAACGGAGGAACCGGTTGCAGCACATTTGGAAGTCGTGAAGGAGAAGACATTCCTTGACGTCTTTTTAAGTGGTGTGAGTTTGAATTGACGGAAGGTTATGTTCAGTTTGGACCTCATCATATGTATCGCCAATCCTCGGGCATATTTATGGGATC